ATAAAACAAAGACTGAGCTTCTCTGAGCAAGAAGAAATTCTGCCAACAGATTGCCTTTGGACTTGAACTGCATCTCTCCCAAGGGGTCTCCAACCTGCCTACCAGAGAGATTACTAAGCCTCCACAATTGCCTGAGTGATTTCCTTAAAAATTAATCTCTTTATGTTTACATACATATCCTACTGGTTCTGTTTCTGTGAAGAACTCTAATACACTTGCTCTGTTAAACAGTTTTAAGATTCTATAATAAAAAAACAGAACAAAGTATCAATCCCACAGTTTTATTTGTAAAGAACAAAGCATGAAAAGTCATATTTAAATGTACTCCAAAACCTGAAAAACCCACGTCAGTTTCTCTGATATGTATGCTAAAGTGCTTGATATCACAATACTGTTCAAATTTTATATTATGTTCAGATGACGGGGGGGAAAAATCCAGTTCTGATGCATTTTGTTAACAACACAAGGAAAAACAATATAACTTAAATGCAGAAAGGCTCATTTGTTAAAAACATACACAGGTACATTTATACATGGTTCCAGTGTAACACAGAGAGCTTTTTCCATGTGTTAAACACCTCCCGCTGATTGACAACAGGAACTCCTTACCAAGCCTCTCTGTCAAGATGTGGTTTTTAGAATAAAGACCGGAGCCATACATAATACATTCAGGTAACAGAATCAAGCATTATTCCCTCCCAGATAACCCAAGGATACCCTGGATTCCTTCAAATGAGGGGATTTTTTTTTTTCTTTTTCCTCAAAGGAGAGGAAATCTTTTGATGATATTTTTCTGGTTTTAATTGCTCAATGTGATATTTTTTCTGGATCCAATCTCTATTTTGCCCTTGCGAGGACCAATGGTCCTAGTAAGATTTGAAGGGATGAGGTTCTCCTTGGATTCCTCCAATCACAGTCCAACACCCTCTTCATAAAGCGTGGAAATCAGTTCAAGAAATTTATATATAGGAATAAAGGGCTGAATAGCTTATTATTTGTTTCTGTCTTCTTTCAAGCTAAATGGAAACGTAATAAATACTTACATAAGAAACAGGGATTTTGAAAGACGCAGACGACCCGGAAACAGGATTCACGTTATAAAAAGCTGAGAGGAGCGGACAACTCCAGTCTCCCCCATGAAGGTGCCAACACTGAAATCTAAACAGCCAAGGTTCAGACTGTCCTTGCAACGCAGTGAAAAGGAGCAACTAGTTTCTGTAAACCTCACAGAGAAATACTCACAGTTCTCAAAATAAAAATCTTCTGAAAAGCCACAATTCTCAGCAGAAGGAGATTCTGTTACTAAGAGCTGGCCTCTCAGCGCCATCAAATAAATATTTCCCTGGGGATCGGAGGTCCTCGCCTGTTTGCCTCATGTTTCAAAATAGCTTAGAGGGTGTCAACATACACTACACACCAACAGTTATGCATACTCTACCCCTCTTTCACTCACATCTATATACATCAGTGATTTATTGCCAAAAAAGGAAATAGAAGCAATTCAGCGTTTCCCCTATGCCGTTCACAGAGGGTGACAGAGTTTATGAAAGTGACTTTTGAAAAAGCCATGTGAAAGTAAATACCACAGGGTTACAAAAGGTACAAACATTTCTGGAAACATGGAAAGTACATTTTAGAGGGAAATCGCAAACTTCTGCAAGTTTTGGGCTGCTTAGATCGAAGTCTTGCCCCCAGTGGGAAGAGGCTGGGGAGGCGTTGCTTCTCGGTGGCTGCTTCCCATCACCCAGATCCCACTTGAACCCCCCAGACACTGTGCCTCTGTCATGGTTAAGGTGCTCCTGGGCCCGGAGAGGGCACAGCTGTAGTAACTCACACTGGGTAATGCTACTGGGTCTCAAAGGTTGAGGTGAGAAGTTTCAGGACACTTGAAAAAAAATGTTTCAAGAGCTGATATTTTTGGCAATTTAATGTTAAAACAATTTCTTTTTAAGCTATTATGCAAAAATACTAATTATGGTTCCAGACATTAATTTTAACTTTTTTTTTTTTGGGGGGGGGGGGAGTCAATGACAAATTTACTTTTACTTTGAGGTGTCATTATCAAGTAATATACTGATCTTAAAAATAAACAGAAAGGATAGCTCTAAATGGATATAGTCCTTGCAAGCCAGCTTGTGAGGCTATGCACATTTATTCTCAAGATTCTGCCGTTCTCCTGCTCAAAATAATTTGGTATTGGCTCAGACAATTATAAGCCATATAAGAACTAAATCGTATTTCTTTAGAGTTGTTATTTTTTTTTCTTTTCTTTAAGTGGTTTTTAAAATTGATTTCAAAGAGAAAGGGAGAAACATAAATGATGAATCATTGATTGGCTGCCTCCTGCATGCCCCACACTGGGGATCAAGCCCAAAATTTCGGAGCATGTGCCCTGCCTGGAATGGGACCGTGATCTCCTGGTTTGTAGGTCTATGCTCAACTCCCGAGCCAACCTGACTGGGCTGGAATTGTGTTTCTTATGTGACAAACTCTGCTCGCATCCCTTTTATTCGTTAACTTGGATCCTATGGGTTGCAGGCCTCTCAAGCAGCTCCTCCAGGGGACCCCACGTGCCTGGAGCGCTGGCTGTCCCCCTGAATTCAGACAGATGGGCTCCCAAGGTGACCACTTTCAAGGGCCTAGTATTGTAGGGGGCATGTCTCTCTCTCTTGACACGTCATTGCACTGCTCTAGTCCCACTACACAGAGCAGGACGGGACTTTAGGTAGAATTCCCTTGGGGCATTCCCTTTTGAAGTAATGGTTTTATTCACGTACCCCCAAATCCAGCAGTTCTCCCCGTTTTCACAACAACGTGTGAACTGTTTGTTACAATGTGTATTAATCCCTGTAAATGAGTATCAGGCATGAATATGAATCCCAGTTCCTACCTGTGTCAGGGAAGACATGAAGCTCCAGGGTGGAGACTGCTCAGATGAACGCTGAGGCCAGGCTCCTGCAGCCTGGTGTGATTAAAAAACCTGAGCCCAGCTGCGGGAGTGTGTAATCTCTCTAATCCTTAAGTGTTCCCATCTACAAAACGAGACGGCCGGACTAGATGACTCAATCAGCTCCTCGGCCTCCCTGGTTGCCCGGAGTGCGTCAGAAGCATGGCCTCATGAGAAAGGGAGGGGGAACTGCCCCCCCCCCCCCAATGGCTCAGCGTGTGGCTTCTGATCCCCAAAACGCAGCCTGAGCCTGGTGCCAGCAGGTTGAGAATGCCTCTCCCATTGAAGAATTTCCTTGTCCCTGAACAGCCACACCCCCAGACACACGTTAGCCTCAGGCAAGCGAATCTTTGGGGCCCAAGTCACCCAGAACCATCTTCTTAACCCCTTTCCATGGGTTTCTAGATGCTTCAACCCCCCTTTCCTCCCTGAGAACTAAGCCACATATCCCAGGGTTGGCCTTGCTGCCCGGCTGCTCATATAAAGGGAGGGAGGCACTGGCTTCATTCGTTTCTCCTGCCAGGAAGGGAGGGAGACAACACTGCGGGCTCCAGTGGGGACCCTCAGATTACAGGGTTTTGGGGGCCACAGCTCCGCGTCTCAGCCACAACGGGGAGCACCCCCCGGAGCTGTGCGAGCACTGTCATGGCCAGCGCGTGCAGCACTCACAGGGCGACAGTGCCTGCCCCGTGAGGAAGGCCCAAGGCGACCAGCTCACACCATGTCTGTCCGCCTGCCCATGGGACACCTCGCTGGGAAGTGACACACAACCTTTGGTCTCTCAAAACGGCCGCCTCTGGTTCTGTGTGCATTCTGCCCCCTGTGCCCGCTGGCTTTTCACCTCCGCTGGGCCAGCTGTTTCATGTGAGCAGGCCTCTCACAAAGCAGCAGAAAACCTGCCCTGAAACACCCAGAAAGGGGCCATTCTTTCTCTCTCCTGTTATTTGCATTATCTCGGTCAACAAATACTTTTCACAAAAACATTCCAAGCCACACCGAGCCCTCCTCCTTCTCAGACATTCCTTCCATTTCCTGAGAGGGGGCTGGGCACCTGGGAGGGAAGAGGAGGGGAGGGGGCAGGGGAGCCAAACAAAGACGGGCTTAAGGGGGGTCCCTCCCTCCCTCCCTCCGAGGTGAGGGACCACTGCCGGCTCCCAGGGCCAACTAGAAAGCGCAGGATCAAACGCCTGTTTGCCGTTATTATGACGGTGACATCTGCCCAAAGTACCTCCAATAACATGAATAAAAATGCTAGGAATGAAGTCGGTCTAGGCTAATCTTTCCACAGAGTAGAGAAGTTATAATCCCACCATTTAACACACTTCTTGGGCCTTTGTGTGCTGTCTACCCAGTTAAGCCAAGCTCCTAGGGTTCCGTATTTAAAGTATTTGATTTATATCTTCATCTTCTGCCTAAGCGGGGTGGGGGGGAACTGCCCAAAAGAATGGAAAAGTGATTCAATTCCTACGTATGAAACCATTTGCAACTGAAAAGATACAAGTGCAACCTGGCTGGTGTGGCTCAGTGGTTGAGCATCGACCCAAGAACCAGAAGGTCGCAGGTTTGATTCCCAGTCGGGGAGCTGGATCCCCAGTGGGCAGAGCTGTTTACATTCAGAACACAAAGAATCAGACCCCAGGATGGATGGCCACACATTGCAATGCCTTCTGGGCTGCACGGTACCTACACGCGCACTGGCTTCTCCCTGACTAGCACCGCTCCCTGAAACCCCCAATGCTTTTAAGCTACTTATTTTAAATCACAGGAATATTCAATCTAGGAAAAGTATCTTAGTAGAGTAATATAATTTCTTAGAGAAGATAGCATATTTACACACATCTTAACACATGAAAATACTCTATTTTATACTAAATTCCTGGTTCAAATGAACTACAATACAGCGTTTTGCCTTGTCTGCGGCGTGAGGACTGTTCCAATCGGGGCATACAGTGCCCGGCCCCTGCAGGACTCACGGCCGCGCCGGACAAGCCCACATCGGTCCGAAGACGGGGAGGTTAGGGGGCCGGGGTCGGACGGAGCGCTTCTGCCCGGGTTACACGTCCACGCCTTTGATGAGCGAGCCCTCGAGGATGAAGGTGAAGTCCTGGATGGTCTGCAGGATGCGGATGAGGGAGTTGACGGTCATGCGGTCCCGCAGGAGGGCGCTCTCTTCGTACATCCGGGTGATGGCAGGGCACTCGGCCAACAGCGGGATCCACTGGGGGAGCAGGCGGTCCCTGGGCCCAAACACAAACAGCCTGAGCGCGGCTGGCTGCCTCGGGGCAGAGCGCAGCGTGCTGGAGCTCGCACACCGGGCAGGCGTGGGGCTGGTGGAGCTCCGGGGTCAGCTGGGAGGACACTCAGGTCCAGAAGCTGGCTCTTTCCTGGCGGGGAGGCTGCGGGAGCAGACAGTGCAGCCTGACGGGAAGACCCATCGGAGCCGACCAGGAGGCCATGTGGGCCATGAGGGTTTCCACACAATAAGGAAATTCTCCTTTCCTGTTTCCCCACTTCTAGAAAGAGGCAGAATGTAATTTTATATATATATATATATATATATATATATATATATATATATATATATATATATATCTCGATGTGTGTGTGTGTGTGTATATATTTTTTTAAATCTGAGTAACTTTTTAAAAAAAATATATTCTATTGATTTTTTACAGAGAGGAAGGGAGAGGGATAGAGAGTTAGAAACACTGATGAGAGAGAATCATCGATCAGCTGCCTCCTGCACACCCCCCACCGGGGATGTGCCCGCAACCAAGGTACATGCCCTTGACCGGAATTGAACTCAGGACCCTTCAGTCCGCAGGCTGACGCTCTATCCACTGAACCAAACCGGTTTTGGCTATTTTTTTTTTTTTTTTACAGGGTGTTAGACATCTGTGGCAAGGCATGCCAAAGCAGATGGACTTTTTGGGAGGGAAGCCTACATTCAATAGCAGGCATTTGCTTGTTTTGGTTTTGTTTTTCAACTTATACAACGTAATAAGGAACAAAATCAAAGCAGAATGTTAGGTAGATTCTATAAACCAGAAGAGAGGTGGTATTGGCCTAATAAATCAGAACAGTGAAGAGATAAAAGGAGATAAAGATCGTGTTCAAAAGGAACTTTAAAAGCTCAGTTGAACATGGGCCCCTTTTGTTAAGAAATTCAGAGCTTAGTTTCTACAAGCTAGCCGAAGTCTCAGGCTACAGTGTTTCCTGATTAAACTCGACACTAATCACCTGTCCCCAGGTACCTAAGACATCCTTACTAAGCACCCCCAAGGCCTTTTGCGACAAGGACAGCCCTAACTAGACCATCCTATACCTCTTCTTGAGCCTCCAGGGGTTTATTTTTTAAACTATGCTTTATTAATATTTAGAGAGAGAGAGGAAGGGAGAGTTATAGAGAGACATAAACAGCGATGAAAGAAAAACATTATCCATCAGCTGCCTTCTGCACCCTCTACTGGGGATCGAGCCCCAAACCAAAACCCAGCAAGTGCCCCAACTGGGGATCGAACCAGAAACCTCTTAGTTAATGGGGCAAGGTTCAACCACCACGTCACACCAGCCGAGCAGGACTCCAGAGGTTTAGAAGAAAGCACACATTGCACACAAAGAACTTCTAAAGGTCTCTGTGTTTCATTTCTTACAATTATGAGAGCTGTTTTAAAATGAATGAGCTGTACAGCTCCTATATGCCATTTTTAAGAAATAAAGGGGTAGGAGAAGATTATATAGTAAGAATTTGCAATGTTCTTAAATTTAATATGTTGGTGTATATACACTATACAAGTTCTAGACAGTACATGTATATGTGTGTATGCGCCAGTATGTCTAATAATCTGCCAACCTACCTGTAACTATTTCCTATCTTTGGATACTCTTTACCTGTAACTATTTACCTATCTTTGGATACTCTTTACCTGTAACTATACCTATCTTTGGAATGAGTAGAGTGTATGGTTGAGAGCCTGGGCTCTAGAGCGAAATGATGTGAATCTTGGCTTCACTTCTTCCTGTGTGTGATCTTGGGAAAATCTGCTATCTATGTTTCATCTATTTTCTCATCTACAGAATGGGATACTGGTTGCTACTTCAAGTACTGGTGGTGGAGAACAGCAGGAGGATTCAGTGAGATACTCTATGTAAAGTGTACTTAGCATAGTGCTTTACCCAACACAGGGCCAGGACCCCATAAACAGTGTTCTCATCATGAACCTGGGAATGAGAGAGCTTTGGAAGGGGCAGGACCTGGTTTAACCCTTTCTGGACCCCTCTGGACGCGTAACAGAGACAGGGAAAGTCAAGGACTGGCTTCATACCGTGTTCCAAGGCAGACTAAGATCTGGAACTTGCCGTCCTTCCCGATGTTCCTGGGTGCGGTGTTAATAGCATTGACGTAATGGCAGAAGGTTTTGCAGGAGGGCTTCTGAAGGAGGACATCGTCTTCGTTGTCTAGAATCTGGTCAGTGGTTTCAAAATAAGCGACCGCTTTCTCTGGGGAAGGAAGTCAGGATCACATCACAATACGCATCTGCACTTTGTAACAGAAAGGCTAATCCACCAGATTCACCTGGAAATGCTAACGGTGCTTTGCCTTAGAGCCAGCCCTGGAACCCAAGTCACCATTTTACCATTGGTTTCACGGTGAAGTCTGGTGGTCCATGTTTCAGGAATGTGCTCCCAGGGGGTTTATTTTCTAATCTAGGTTGCATTCTGGAAGGCTGGGAAAAGTTACCCTCTTAGGAATAGCTGCTTGAAATGGAAACTGGCAAGAGGAAGAAAAATAAAAACAGACTCCTCTGTTGACTGGAACCTTCCAGGAGTAAACAGCAAAGACATGGTAGCCACTGGGATGTGGTCCCAGTTACAGCTGTGGAATGCCAGGCTTACACTGCAACACAGTTCTGACGTGGAACTGAACCAGTAACCTGGGGAAAGAGGTATGTGTACACATGTCAGAAGCAAGAGCCATATGCCAGGCATTCTAGATGGGAAAGAAAAAAAAATCACTCCTAGGGGCCTAATCTGTCAACTTTCCTTTCTTTGTCCAAAAATTCTAAGTTAGATGAAATCAACTAGGCCTTATGTACAAAACTTGAATGATTAATCACCCCTGTAAAGAAACTGGGAATTCTAGAAGAGCTGCATACCAAAATAAAGGCGACCACACTCAGCAAGCTGGCGCAGACGCTGGAGGGGGCTGTGCCTGCGAAAGGCTCCCTGTCTGTGAGGGCCCACTAGCAGCTTGCAGGAGGGCTGGGCGACGGAGGAGGTGCATTTTATTTTATTTATTTATTTAAAAAAATATATTTTATTGATTTTTTTTACAGAGAGGAAGGGAGAGAGATAGAGAGCTAGAAACATCAATGAGAGAGAAACATCGACCAGCTGCCTCTTGCACACCCCCTACAGGGGATGTGCCTGCAACCAATGTACATGCCCTTGACCGGAATCGAACCTGGGACCTTTCAGTCCGCAGACCGATGTTCTACCACTGAGCCAAACCGGCTTCGGCGAGGAGGTGCATTTTAAATGTCAAGGAGGTCAATTTTAATTTAAGTGGGCACCTGTGTCCAATGACTACCACTCTGGACAGCACAGAGCTGGAGCCATCCTTTTCAAACGCCTCACTCCTTATATCCAAACCTCCCGAGTAACTTCCATTTTGTTCAGGGTAAAGACCAAAGTCCCCCCAAAGTGCCTCCCTCACAACCTGCCTCTTGCAGTAAATACCTCTTCCCCCCAAATCCTGTCTCTCCCCTCACTCTGCTCAGCCCCCCAGCGCCTCCACACGACGGCTGGGCGCACCCCTGCCTCGGGCACCTGCCCTGGTCCCTCTCTCAGCAGAGAGTCCTCCTCCTAGGATGCTCAGGGCTCACTTGGGCGCTCCCCGAAAGTCTTTGTTCAAATGTCACCTTGTCAACAAAGCCTGTACCCACCCCTTTAAAAGAGCACTCGACACTCCATTTCCTCTTACCTTGTTCTATTTTTTTCTAGACCAACCATCAGCTCACGTGATAGATGAATTGCATATTTATTACGTTGCTTTGTATCATTTGTCCTCCCTGCCCCCACCAGAATGTAAGTTTATCAACCACAGGAATTTTCATGCCCGTTGTTATATCTTTTGGCTCTTAATCCTCACCTGAGGATATTTTTTCCCCATTGATTTTTAGAGGGTGGAAGGGAGGGAGAGAGACAGTGAGAGGGAGAGGAACATCATGTGATTGGTTGCCTCCTGCAGGCAACCTGACCCAGGCCCCAAGATTGAACCTGCAATCAACGTGCAGGAATTGAACCCAAGATCTTCAGTCCACGAGCCCACGCTCTAGCACTAAGCCAAACTGGCTAGCTATATCTTGACACATATAGTATATCTTGAGGATCTAGAATAGCGTTTGGAATTCGGTGGGCACTATAAATATTTGCTGACTGAATGAAAAGGACAGTGCTTATTTGATATTAAAAAAACAAAAACAAAAACAACCATACGCCCTTAAAATGAGCCCTGATTTTCCCAGTTCCTGGATCTCTGGGTTTTCCAAGAAGCATCTCCATGACCTCACACAGCATCGCCTGCCGAACGTACCTATGAAGTCCCAGATGAAGACGTTCTTGTGGAAGATGCGGGCGGACTTGAAGCCGTGGTGGAACACCTGCTCCAGCGCCGCCACCAGGCCGCTCTCCCCGCACAGCAGCACCGTGAGGCTCCCCCTCTGCGGACACACACAGGCCAGAGCGTGACCTGACGCCTTCACGTGGGAACCGCGTGGGGAGGTGGGCGTGGGAGCACGGGGCCGTGGCGGCAGCCACCGGAAAGCCGGCGAAGGGAAACCAAAGCACTTGGAATTGCCGTAAGCATCGTGCGTAAAAGCGGCTCTAAAGTCCTGCGATGCTGAGTTTTGCAGCTCATCATACCTCTTTCTCAGGCTTGTGGAAATGTTTCACGATGTTGTTCACAGCCTCTCCGATTCCTTCCTGGATCTGTCCAGCACTGGGCTCTGAAACACAATGAACAGTGGCCGAATGCTCACGCGAGGGAAATAAACCGAAGTGCTACGGGGCATCCACTGTGCCCGCCTATGCAGGAAGCTCCATCGGACCTGCCCCAGGCCAGTCTGGCCAGGTGAGAGGCATCTTGGCACAATGGAAAAGAACCCAAGAGACCCCTACATTCAAATCCCAGCCTTACCACGTGTAATCTATAACCCTGGTCAAATGTCTTCAGTCTAATGGGGAAAATACTCAACATACACATACCGCACACACGGGTCACCGGGAATGAGGTATTAGGTGTAAATTGCCTGACTCAGTGATTTACTCTGAGGAGGGAGACTGGGGAGACCCACAGCTCATTCCTCAGGAACCCCACCCTGTACCCCGCCTTCCTCCGCGCTCCTTAGTGGTCCCAGACAGAGGCCGCTGAGGTTCTCAGGCCAACCTGGAATTTGCGGTTTTTGCTGCTGTGTTTATTTATTTATTTTTTAAATATATTTTTATTGATTTTTGTACAGAGAGGAAGGGAGAGAGAGAGTCAGAAACATCGATGAGAGAGAGTCATCGATCAGCTGCCTCTTGCACATCCCTTACTGGGGATATGCCCGCAACCAAGGTACATGCCCTTGACCGGAATCGAACCCGGGACCCTTCAGTCCCCAAGCCGATGCTCTATCCATTGAGCCAAACTGGTCCCGGCTACACCGTCTTCTCTGTGTGTGTCTGCTTTCCCTCTGCCTCCCACTTATAAGAATACAGGTGATAGCTTTTAGGGCCCACCTCGATAAATCCAGGATAATCTATCTCAAAAATCCTTAACGTAATTATATCCTTTCCCAAATAAAGTAACATTTACAGAATCTAGGCATTTGATCTGATATCCTGGGCGATATTATTCAGCCTACTAAAAACCACACTAGTATAAATTAGGAGCTTATTGTACAAAACTCACGCCTTTACAGTATCTTGCTTCATCACCTATATGAAGCTGGAGGGTGGGGACAGGGGTTTTTAGAGTTTCTCTTAGAATAAAGGGCTCTGTATAACTAAATTTTAGGTTTCAGGCAAAATATTTCTTATTCTTATTTCCATAGCTTAATTGAAACATAGCATGTATGCATTCTTATTGAATTTTAACATCCAAATTCTTCAGGCTTTTAATTATTTGTTTTGCCTTGCCTTATTTTTTCCTCCTTTTTCTCTCTCCCCTCTTTTCTTTTCTAACGTTCCTTCTCCCAAGTTAATTTTCCTCAGCTTTCTTTTTTTTTAATAAAAAAAAAATATATATATATATATTTTATTGATTTTCCACAGAGAGGAAGGAAGAGGGATAGAGAGCTAGAAACATGATGAGAGAGAAACATTGAACAGCCGCCTCCTGCACACCGCACACCCCCTACCAGGGATGTGCCCGCAACCAATGTACATGCCCTTGACCAGAATCGAACCTGGGACCCTTCAGTCCGCAGATCGACGCTCTAGCCACTGAGCCAAACTGGTTTTGGCTCAGCTTTCTTCTTTGTAATCTCCCTACCACAATTCATCAATGTGACAGTGTTCTGTGAAATGGCCACGTGACGCCTGCAACATCTGAGACACACAGAGACATAAAGGACCGACTCACTGGCGGCTTTCCCCGTTAGCGAAGTGATGCTCAGCCTCCGGGCCGTGGTGGGCGACTTCTGCTGGGGGGGCGTCCGGCACTGTTTCGCCAGGTCCTCATCGGCCGCAGGTGCCATCAGCTCTCCAATGAGAATCCGCTCCAGGCTCCCGTCGTCCACGCCCTTCCCCAGCCACCGCCCGCACGGGAACCTGGCAGGACCAAAACCAACCAACAAAAACCACCTTCGGCATCACCGATACTTTATTTACTAGTGTTAGTCAGCATTTTAAAAACAGCACCATGAGTAAAGTAAAGCCCACCATTTTAGTGCCTGTGGTTGTTTCTTTTAATTATGAACAATTTAAAACACAGAAAAATAGATAAAATAACAGTGTAACAAACACTATGCATTCTTACCACCTAGACCAGTGGTCGGCAAACTGTGGCTGGCAAGCCACATGCGACTTGTGAGCCACAGTTTGTGGCTCTGTTGACTAATGAGTTTGCCGACCACTTGGATGGGGGCTTAATCACAAGGAACAACAACAGCCTGTAATTATTGGAATTGAGAGTCCAGGTAAGTGGTTGGCAAAAAAAATAAATAAATAAATAAAAAATTACCAGTGGTCAGCAAACTGCAGTGGCTCGGGAGCCGCAGTTTTCCCACCACTGACCTAGACTTATCATTTTTTGTTGAAGTATTTTAAAAGTAAATTATATATACTAGGACATGTAAAACACTTCAATCTAAATCTCTAAATAATAAAGATGTTTTCTCTCTTATATAGCCATAGGTTATTATCACACCCAAATTAAAATAATTGTTTTTTTTAAAATTTGAGATTTAAAGGAAAGTTGCTTTTAGAGAAACAATTTCTATCAGCTGCCTCCTGCATGCCCCCTTCTGGGGATTGAATCACAACCCAGACATGGTGCCTGACCAGGAAGCAAACCACCAATCTCTTGGTATATGGGTCAATGTTCAACCACTGAGCCACACTGACCAGTCTAAAATAACTCTTTAATATTTTCTCAAACCTAACTCATCAAAATTTTGTGATTAGTTTTTGAAAGAATAGTCTCAAACTCTTGAGTATGAGTCAAGTTACAGAAGAAAAGAGGAGAATGTTCACAGAAAGGCATGCTGGCTAGAACTAGCAGAGTCTCCAAGATCCTGTCCTCATACTGAAATTATTTTAAGCTTGTTTCTTTCTTCCTTTTTTTTTTTTTTAATCAGTTACAGCAATCGTTTTCTGCACAACAATCAACACTTGTGAACTAAGCATTAACAGTGAACACAATACGTTTTTGTAAAGTATTATTTGAGGCACTTTTGTATCAAACCAAACCAAACAACCCCCAAAAAGCTAAACTCAGATACAGAAGGCAGAGGGAAAGCTTTAGAAAGAAACAGTTCTTAAACCTTTCCTTGTCTAGTGAGTCTCACAATAGAAACTCTGAATTCCCAAGGACATTCACTCACCTGTATGTGTGTCCTGTGATTTCATTTCTGACCATGACACAATCCACCAGCCACTTGGCTAACAGTCCAGAGTTGTCGTGACCAATCTGCACGGTGGTCAGCTTCCCCAGGTTCTGGCACTGTCGGGACAGGACCATAGGTTATTCAGCGCCCGATCCCATCCCACTTCCCTCTGGGCTTTCGCTGTGGTCCCGTGTTCCACCTCCCTCAACTCACTGCAGAGGGCCCACTGCTCTGCAGAGAAACACAGTCACATCCAATACACCCCAGCTAAGGGGACAGGAGGCAGGAGGCAGGTGGACTTGATCTAATGAAGGGACCGCACAAGCTGCTACACTCGAGATGCAAACAGTGGAAGCAGACGCTGGAGAAGGAAAGTTTATTTCTAACTGGGGGACCCAAAAACATCACACAGACAGTGATTTGTGCCTTAAAGGGTGAGAAGAATTTCAAGAAGCAGAAAAAGGGTGCTATTAGATTGAGTTACAGAGTGGTCAGAAAAACAACTAAAGACACAATAAGAAAAAAATTCACTGACCCAGCTATTTTTGTTTCAAATAAAATACTCAGGCAGAACTGACCTTAAACCTCATCGACTAGATAGAAATCTTCAAAGCTATTGTAAAAACAACAACAAAACAGCATAGTTATCAACATCTTTCCTGGCCCTTTGTGGACAAGTACAAAAGAAAGTGATCGCTGAAACCGGTTTGGCTCAGTGGATAGAGCGTCAACCTGTGAACTGAAAGGTCCCAGGTTCCATTCCAGTCAAGGGCCTGTACCTTGGTTGTGGGCACATCCCCAGTAGGGGGTGTGCGAGAGGCAGCTGATGGATGTTTCTGTCTCATCGATGTTTCTAACTCTCTATCCCTCTCTATTCCTCTCTGTAAAAAATCAATAAAAAAAAATATATTTTTTAAAAAAGAAAGTGATCCTAACAGGAATGGTAAAAATAAATGTCAATTAAATGCTGACATTTAAATCCTGATAAGACATCACAGACCCCACTGCCTATGTGCGGGTGGGATGATCAGGGCTGAGTTCTTAGGCCCTTGACTTTGTTTCGCAGTGAGAAGGCATCACACTGACTCAGGAGAGGGGGATGGCACTTTAAATCAGCTGTGGCTGCAGAGATGGAAGGAACTAGACAGACGTGAGGGAGTTTGGAAGCAGTATTGTAGGGACATATGGTGCAGTATGTTCTATTCTTGAGAGTCAAAGAAAAGCTAAGGGCTTCAATCTTTTACATACAGACGGCTGTGAGTTCACTGGGTAGATAGGGCCAAAGTGGGATTCTGTGGGGAGTGCGCTATTCCTGGATCGCAAGGAACATGACAACAGGGCGCTCAGCTGGTACCACATCCCTCCAGAGCAGGCCCCGGCTTCCTCCAGCATGCTGGGACCTACCTGCCCGTGAGCTCACACACACGGGAATACTTCCCCAAGCGAGATCTGAACTATGACACGGAAAGGTATTTTTACAAAATCACTTTTTAAGTGTCACCACGTGGTCTGCAAACCATAAGCATGGACACAGTCCTGTGTCCACGGTCAGGTGGGAGGGTCTGCAGTGGGAATGAGGGCCGCTGTGGGGAGAAAGCTCTGAGTGCCAAGGCACCGGAGTCCCGGAGCAGGACTGGAAAAGTCCCCGGTGCACCATCACAGGTAGGAAAACACAACTAACAATGACACTTACAATCAAGATACAAAACAAATTAGGGTGTTTACGACAACTTGACCGCAGGTACATGACCCCAGAAATGGTCCTGCATGCTTGACTGTGCCTTTGTATCATCTGACTCAAGGCAAAGGAAAAAGTGAAACTGGACTCCCTTGTGCAGAATTACGTATGGCGCTTTCTGTGGGGACAGGTCTTAGCTGCACCGACCTCAAAGGTCATTTCCAGGAGGTTTTTGGGGATCTGCATTACTCCTGTGTCTCCCAGCTCCCCTGACACACAGATCCAGGGGTTTGAGGTGATGATCGCGTTACTCAGCTTCTTGATGGGGATGATCACCGACCTATACGGAATCACTGGGAAAAAATGCTGAAATTAGTGAAAAGTCACAATAAGATTCTCCTGGTAACAAAACAAACATGCATTAAGAACTCTGTTGGCACCGGGACCGGTTTGGCTCAGTGGATAGAGCATCAGCCTGCGGACTGGAAGGTCCTGGGTTCGATTCCGGTCAAGGGCATGTACCTTGGTTGCGGGCACACCCCCAGTAGGGTGTGTGCAAAAGGCAGCTGATCGATGATTCTCTCTCATTGATGTTTCTAACTCTCTATCCCTCTCTCTTCCTCTCTGTGAAAAATCAATAAAATATATTTTTTAAAAAAACTCTGTTGGCTTTCACAGATAAGTCACTTAAATATATGTATTTAAAAATGTGTTTTATTTATTTTGAGAGAGAGAAAGGGAGAGAGAAACAATGAATGAACACCCCTCCCTGGGGATCAAACCCACAACCCAGGCATGTGCCCTGACTGGGAGTTGATCTGCCGGCCTACTGATGCATGGGAGGACACTCAACCGACTGAGCCACACCGGCCAGGGCCACAGTTAATTCACTCTTTATGATCTATCAAGATGTACTTAGACAAAAAGATGAGATGATAGTCTCTCCTAGTTGAGGAAAATGAGGTCCAGTTTGTAAGCCCTAAGTCCTGATACCTGAGGTGGTTTCCCCAGCACATACACCACCATGTGTGCATGGCATGCATGTATCACCATGGCGATATACTCCCTGTGCATTTATACACAATCTCAGGCGTGAGCACCAGCTCGAGGACATGAACACTAACAGCGTTGTAAAGTGTTTTCATTGCTTTAGCGCTTTTATTAATTTTGTTTCAAAGTCGAGTCCACATGAGCATGGCTCCTGGCTGGTTTCGTATGAAAAAGGGGCTGCATGACTTCCTGGCTAGCATCCCTGTTGCATTGCTGAACCGCCTTGGGCAGTGCTTTAAGGCACAGCGCTTCTGAACATTCCCATCACCATTTTACAGCTCAATATGCAAAGCCAAGAAAAATAAACAACGGCCCCTCCATCTGGACACAACATAAGGTCTTTAAACAACAACTTGGAAACCTATGAAAGAGACTCACGAAGGGGCCTCAGGAAAGGAATCAAGATGTGGAACCTCGGCTTCTGAAGGCTCTTCAGAGGCACACCACTAGGTGTCACTGTCCCACCACTGTCTTTTGCTCAAATGTGGAAACACAATGAAGTTAGACATTACCACGCCCCCTCCATTTTCCTTTAAAAAATGGGGGCGGCTCAAACACAGTAGCATTATCCTTGAGAGCCATATGTGGTTGTTTTTCCCCGAGAAAAGCAGGGTAAAATCCATATTTTTTTGTTGGTATTCTTGGGATTACTGATCACTCATTTACCAAAGCACTCCCTGAAAGCGGTCCAGGGAAGGAGAGCACACTCACTGGGCCAGATGTCCGGGTGCCGCCTCCCCATACGGCTCAGGGTTCAGTGCATCCTCAGGTGAGGAAAATGAATGAGACAAACGGTTCGTTTCCCTGATTTTACACAGACCACGTTCTCCATGTGGAGCGGACCACCTCCCTGTCTGTCAGTCTATTTTGGCCGAAGGAGAGGAAATGCTAGAAGAAGGGCCCTACTTGCATGTTTCAGTCGTCACAAGAATCAAATCGTTTTTGGAACTGAAAGCAGAAGAGGTTAGAGCGAGACTATTTTGGGTGCCAGAGGTTTCTCTAATTTCTTTCATTGACAGGATTAGAAAAGCTGCAGAAAAGAGCCAGCAGATGCACAACAGTGATTTCATCAAGTATAAAAAGTAACATTATTTAAACTCAGAATATTTCCTTCATGAAGTATCTCAATTGCTCAAATTGAAAGAGAAATCTGCAGATATAAGGAGTATTATATCTTAAGGAGTATTAATCTCTTAGCTGAAGAGAAATCTGCAGATATAAGGAGTATTTTAGGAGTCCTATTTCTTCTCTTTCAAAACTGTACATAACATTTTAGCTTTTCATTCCTGCAAGAACCTAATAACCTAATAAATGAGTACAAGCTTCCCAGATAGGTTGGCTCAGTAACCATTTCAACTCCAGTGTTCCTTGTCTGCCTCTACCAGAGACTAGAAAAACCAAAAACCTACACGATTCTGGCCAGTAAAATGCTAGTGATGTTTATGGCGACCGCTTGGAAAATTATGTTTTTCAAACACAGATTCTGACTCATTTTCCTTGGCATTCCTTCCTTCTTTCTGCTGGAAAGAGGACTGAGAATGGTGACCAGAAGGTGATGAGCACACACTGAGGACTGTCTAGGAGGAGAGGGACAAAGAGCCCATGTCCAAGTCCTGGCTGGTGTTGCCCAGTGGTTAGAGTGTTGGCCTGAGGACCAAGGGGTCACAGGTTTGATTCCTAGTCAAGGATACGCACCTTGGTTGCAGGTTCGATCCTGGCTCCAGCCAAGGCATGTGCAGGAGGCAACCAATTGACGTGTCTCTCTCACTCAATGTTTCTCTCTCTTTCTCCCTATCTCCCTCCCCTCTCCTCCCTTTCCACTCTCTCTAAAAATCAATGGGAAAAATATCCTCAGGTGAGGACTGGAAAAAAAAAAAAGCTCATGTCCATGATGGCACTATGGACTACTTACTATGAGGCTTCTTGTTATGCAAGAAAAATAAAACTACTAATTTGTTTAAACAACTGTTTTGCAAGTTTCTGAAACTTGCAGCTGAACATAACTCCAAACTGATACAAGTAAAAAGTCTATAAACTAGGAAAGGGGATCCACAGCTAATAAGGATTAGCAGCGGTGAAGAGAATACACGCTTTAATTCAGCTTATCCAAACCCGTCAGCACCTCCTCCCTCCACAGCCTATACTCCCCATCGAGATCCCGAAGCCTTTCGGAATCACCAGAGAGTAACGATGTTCAGGTAGGAAAGTTTATTTTTATCACCTCCTGATTCTTTCCATGTATGGGTTTTGGGTAAGATCTATAAATATATTCCTTTTCACGTCCATCCCACTCCCTGTTGCAGACTGAGTTTCCCGGAGTCAGAAATCAGCACCAGAATGCTGCTCTGGGATCCACATGAGAGAAGAAAGCAGGCCTGGTGGAGGGAGAAGCTGTCGTAATGATGGCGAGTTCTGGGACAGCCTCTGACCAGGCAGAGCAGGCTGGCCCTGGCAGGAGGGCTCCCTGGGGTGAGGCACTCCCTCCCCACAGGACAGAGAGCCAAGGACCCTTCAATCCTAAAGGAGAGGGGGGTGGAGTGCGGGTGCCAACAGTGTCCACCTCAGTATAGTAGGATAGGTCTCACTTTTTAAAAAATGAACCCTGTTCCATTAGTCACCGGAGCAATTCTTCCCTCAACAGCCGCCCCCAGACTTACTGATGGTGGTGAAGACACTGGTGAAGCAGAAGTAGTCCACTGCGTTGAGGGAGAGAAGATGGTACAGAAACTGTTCCCGTTCTTCCTCGCAGCACAGAAAGGCGTACCGCTTATAAAGCTTTCTAGGAGAGAGCAGGGCAAGCACAACAACAGTGTAGGCCACTTCTCATTATCTCTCCCGGGAGAAGTGAACCCCTCTACTGAGACACACTGGGTAGAAATTCTAATCTGGAAAGAATAGACAAGTTTCACAAAAACGAACATGCAGACAGGTAACATCTTAAGCGAACCAGTCATTAAATGGGGGGAAAAAAACAAACCACAAACCCACGTTGTCTACGAAACTAATAGAGACCAGAAAGTGCTGACCAGTGCTGACGAGGGTGGGGACAATGAACAGCTAGCGATTCCGACAGACAGTGGGGCTGAGAGTTTCAGGAGAGCAATTTGCTGGTAATATCTCTTTTACACCCGTCACCAGTCCAGCATTAATTTTACAAGAGGAGCCACCCTGTAATGTGAGGTGATCAACACACGGTGGGCTGTCCGGGAGGAGAGGGGCGAAGAGCCTGCGTCAGGGATGGCCCCGGGGACTGCGTAGCCCCTGACTCCTCGTTACGTGAGAGAAACAGAACTACGGTGTGTCGACTTTTGCAATGCGCTTTGTGAGCACACAGGTCATGGAAACCGAAATGCCCCAGCCTGTCTCACCTGGTGAGCGCCTGGTTAGACAGCAACTGCTTGAGATGCTGGGACAAGAGCTTCTTTTCCAGAGACAGCCTGATCCACGCCCGAGCTCGCCCGACGTCAGTCTTGATCTCACTCATGTTCTGAATGTGCCTGAGGAACAGCAGCCACAGAAAAGATGTGAATCCCAAGGTTTGGAAAAGACCTCAGGTTTGCAGCTCTCTGCCCAGGAAAGTTCATTTACACTTACGTGAAGCAATAGGGAGCACAGTTTATGTTGATTAAACCTTCCGAGGTTCTATCTTAGTTATGAATCTAGCCCCACATCAGGATTACCCTTAAAACACAAATGTACAGGGAACGTCTTAAGATACACAAAGCATTTGAAACCCATTAATCCTCTAACGTTTCACTATGTTCTTTCAGCTTCACAGATAAGCTGGCACTTGGTTAATCCTGACTCTCAGGAAAATGAAGTAAACAGGCTGGAATTCAAGTTTTTGTTCAACATAATTATTCTGTAGTCTAACGAAGTATCTGACGCAAATTTAACCCACTGAATTATTTGCCGCGGTCACACGCCAGTTGAACGTAAGGTACTGTGGAAATTCACATGGAAGTCAATGCTACCCCCACAGGCTGTGTTTATCTTCCTCAATGATTCCTTCCTGAGGGGACAAAGGGCAGCAGGAAGGACAAGCCCACGGGAGGGGCAACTGTAAAACCACCACGTGAGTCACCTCGGAAGGTTTTTTATGTACTTTGTGATCTGACCGGCCTTTGATTTTTTTTTTTTAAAATCTAAAATGACTCATCCTAGCTGTAATAAATATTGCAATGTAACCTTTTATCTGATGATTCTAAGCTTTCAGAATAAGGACTAAAGCCTTATTTTGCCACACACACACACACACACACACACACACACTTCTCTTTTTTCCTCCCTCTCTCTCAATCCTTGGATCTGAACATTTAGGCCCTCTATATTAAGTGCTGATTTATAACCAAACACTCTTTTTTTTTTTTAAATATATATTTTATTGATTTTTTTACAGAGAGGAAGAGGGAGGGATAGAGAGTTAGAAACATCGATGAGAGAGAATCATCGGTCAGCTGCCTCTTGCCGCCCCCCCCCCCCCCACTGGGGATGTGCCCGCAATCAAGGTACATGCCCTTGATGGGAATTGAACCCGGGACCCTTCAGTCCGCAGGCCGACGCTCTATCCACTGAGCCAAACTGGTTTCGGCAATAACCAAACACTCTTGAAAAACAAGATGTAATGCATTACATCACCTCACACAGACACACTGAAGAGGTGGCATGCAGACACATGTGAATGAGATTTATGACGCACTTATTTTTTAAGGGCTAATACCATTATGGATGGTCATGAACGGAGAAGGCTGGGGGCAAGGAGGCCCCCCTAGGAGCCTGGTTCTTACTGGTGGTGGTGGTGGCAGTGCTGAGCCTTGACAGCCCAGGGTGAGCCCCTGCAACAGCACTGGCTCAGTCCTACCGACATTCCCCAAAGGCCGACACGGCTGATGTGGGGAAATAAATGCTCAGGTGTTTTTACCACTTAACTTTCCACAGTATCTACATGGAAACCCATGAGTGCCGGGTGGGCTCTGAGCCCCCATAACCCTAAGAATACCAAGTTAATTCAAAATGAATTCACTGAAAATGAACCCATATGGAGGCTGATAAGTACTGAATGTTTCCCTACCTACCCTTCCTACTCTAAAACAGTAAACTCTACTGAAATTAGTGTTATGCAGACCTTAAACAGGTAGTTGCAGACACGGTAGGTGAAGAATGACAGAGTGGAAAATAATTATAATTTAAAAAACAATCTGTGTTTAAGGAAAATGGGGAGGATTGGAGTACATAAAACAAAACGTATTTTATTTAGGTGGCAATCAGCATCCCCATCATAAAAGCATTTGTGCCAGTGTCTTTGGTTGGAGGCGAGGGATTTGTCACAGCAGTGGCTCCTGAGATTCCGCATCCCATTACTTCTTCTCTCTGTGATTTTATTCATCACATTGACCGTCACAGCCTCCAACGACCTCTCTAATTTATGAAATTCTGTAGTCTAATCGACATGTTCCATGCACTGCCTACTTTGATCATTTTCTCTTGGTTTATGCTTTTTTCAGCTTGCCAAGGTCCCTGAGGACAAGCAAGGAGCCAATACCTCTGAGTAGCCTTACATCCTTCTTTGTACCTATAAGGCCCAGCACATATTAGGAGCTAAAAAAAAAAAAAAATACCACAAAACAGCTCTGTTGCTTTGTATATCACTATCTAATTTTATGCTTAAAGACATTTATATGTGTTGTGTTATTAATAGAATCCAAATCTATTCAATGTTTTCCTGTGTAGCTACATCATTTTAATTAAATTCTCAACTGAGAATATGTGGTGATTTTTTTAAAAATTGAATTTACAGAAAGGAAAGGAGAGAAAGACAGACAGATACATTCATCCACTGAGAGAGAGAGAGAGAGAGAGAGAGAGAGAGAGAGACCCCCCCCAAACCAGGAATGGAACCCACCACCTTTCAGTGTATGGAATGACTCTCCAACCAACTGCAGGGTATGTAGTCATATCATTTTAATCTGTTTTTAGATGGAATAACTTATTACAGATAATTATAAAGGCATTTAGCATAAATAATATCATATAAGTATTATTGCTAGTAAAATAGAGCCCGTTAATTCACAGAAAAGCATACATGGTGTGGTTTAAATAACTTATCTACTTGACTTAGTTTTTAACCTTGATACAAAGCTTTCTAATTTTAACGAGTTTTATGTACTTTGTCTTATCTGATCATCACAGTAACTCGTGAGGAGGAGGACAGAGTTATTTCCCTGTAAAGATGAGAAACCAGAGACTCCTTCAGACTGAGGGACCCACTCAAGGTCACAGAGATCACGTGTTATTCTAGAGGAGCCACCCACTTCCTTCCGTCTCCTCTCCCTGGCACTCACATTCTTGGAGGAGCTCCCCTTCCACAAACTCAGGAGACACACCTCCGGGGGCCCCGTGACCACGGCCCATGCTCCTAACCCCTCAGCCAGTCACACTTCCTCTCGGAAGCTGGCAATGAGTACCCCAATCAAGCGAGTTCTCAATGAATGCTTAAAATAAGACAGGATGTTAGAGCCAGGGCTTAGGAGAGCACGTGCACAAGACAGCCGGGAAGGAAGGGAGAGAAGGGGAGAAGCAGAGAGGATTTGCTTCCTGTGAGAGAAGATTGTTTTCCTCCCAGCTGCAATTCTTGCTCTTGGATTCTGGAAGATACCCTTACAATAAATCCCATGTTTGCTGAAGCCAGTTCGAATGAGTTTCTTATTTTAAAAAATATATATTTTATTGATTTCTCACAGAGAGGAAGGGAGAGGGATAGTGAGCTAGAAACATTGATGAGAGAGAAACATCGACCAGCTGCCTCCTGCACGCCCCCTACTGGGGATGTGCCCGCAACCAAACTACATGCCCTTGACTGGAATTGACCCAGGACCTTTCAGTCCACAGACCGATGCTCTATCTACTGAGCCAAACCGGTTTCAGCCAAATGAGCTTCTTATTGTGTGTCCTGGACTCCTTACAGCTGCTTAAGCAATCTGGTACCAAGACTCTGTTTCCCCAAACTGAATGATTTCTAAGATTGATAGCACCTAAATAAGTGTAATCTACACTTCCTGGTGCTTATTTTACTGCATTAATAGTGATCCCTAGTAATATTCATTAGAGAAAATAAAAGAACCAGCCAATTTTAGCATAAGCTCATATCCTGTACAGTCATAAAAATTCCTCAAAATAGTCCTTCCCAAGGGTAACAAAATCAATCATGACTACTCAGCTTGTGTTGAATAAAACCAGATGTTCATTAGCACACGTGTACACATCTATACTAATCTATACTAATAAAAGGGTGATATGCAAATTGGTCACGATACCTTCACAGTAACAACCGAATAGCAGGCTGCGTGGGGCGACTAGGCCAGCAGGGGGGGCCAGTGAGAGGTCACCAGGCTAGCAGAGGGAGGCAGTAAGGGGCGACCAGGCTGGCAGAAGGGAACAGTGAGGGGCGACCAGGCTGGCAGAAGGGGACAGTGAGGGGCGACCAGGATGGCAGAAGGGGACAGTGAGGGGCAACCAGGCCAACAGGGGGGACAGTTGGGGGCGACCAGACTGGCAGAGGGGGGCAGTTAGGAGTGACCAAGCCAGCAGAGGGGGGCAGTGAGGGGCGACCAAGCTGGAGAGGTGGGGCAGTTGTGAGCAACTAAGCCGAAGGGGGGGGGCAGTTGTGGGCGACCAGACTGGCAGAAGGGGGCAGTTGGGGGTTACTAGGCCAGCAGGGGGGGCAATTAGGGGCAATCAGGCAGGCAGGCAGGTGAGCAGTTAGAAGCCAGCGGTCTGGATTGTGAGAGGGATGTCTGACTGCTGGGATGTCCCTGTGATAGGGCTGAAACTGGCAGTTGGACATCCCCAGAGGAGTCCCAGATTGGAGAAGGTCCAGGCTGGGCTGAGGGGACCCACCCTGCCCTGTGCATGAATTTCATGCACCGGGCCTTTACTTATTTATAAAAAGATAAAGTCACTTGCCAATTTGCCCTCAAGTAACTTATCCCCATCTTTATATGTAAATAGAATATTTCTAGGATTTATTCACATCGTCTTCATGTTTACATATTCAGACTTATCTATACTTGAATTATAGTATTCACAATATCCTAGATCATATAATGTTCTGCTATGCCCCACATCATTAATTATATTTTGCCATTAAGAACATAAGGCCCAACAGCTAGATGGTATGTGCATAGCTACTTTGGAAAAAAAAAACTGGCAACAATGGTACCACCGCAATAATACTCCTCTTCTCTATGTAAATAATCAGTCCAGTTAGTTACTGTCCCCAGCCTCTCTCATTGGAATAAAAAGTTATTCTATAAGTGACAATTTAAGCAATCGAACTCCAAGTCCTTAAACTGCCAATGTATTTGCCTCAAGAGATGAACTTGAGAAGATGAGGTAAGGACAGAGGCATGTGCCCAACAGAGAGCATGGGCTCCGAGAGAGATACTACCCAATCCTTAGAAAATACACTTTTCCTTCAATTGTCGATGTAAAGAAACCAGACTTTAGAATATTATTTGGGTGGTGTTCTTGGATCTACTACAGCAACTATTTAAGTAGCAATTAGGGACTAAAATGAAGTACTAACTCAGAATTTGGAAATAGGGAAATAAGCTGGTCTGTGGGACCCCCAACAGGGTGATGGGGATGGGGGCGCCACTGGCACCCACCTTGGCTAGTTGCCTAGCGCCATCCGCTCGCCGGCCCCAACTAGGGGCAACTCCTGTGTTGAGCATCTGCTCCATGGTAGTCAGTGTGCATCATAGTGACCAGTCATTCTGCCAGTCAGTCAAATTGCATATTAGGGTTTTATTATATAGGATTACGTTTAGCCTGATGTGTACCCATAGACTGTTGCTAGCCAGGGCAAGTGATCTAGACTTTATTGTAAGATCACCATATATCCAAGAAGAAGAAATAGTAGGGTAAGCACAGAAATATGGGAACTAGGATGTAATACAGGTGAGAAATTTTAAGGGATTAGATTAGAGAGTCACTGTTCATTGATCTAACAGTCCATGGAATAAGTGAGCAGTAGTTACAACTATTTCTTTTATGCTGGTCATCCAAAGGAATCATAAGGCACACAAGGACAACTATATGTCATCCTCCAAGGAACACATCATTTAAGTTATAAATATATAAAACTTAGACTACAAAAACCAACGTTTACTGAACTCTTACTATGAGCCAAGTACTTCTTCAAACTTTTTACAGTAATAGACTATAGGCTAATTCACTTAAATTTCATTTCAATGCTGTAAGATAGATAACTTTAAAAATCTCTACTTGAGAGATGGGAAATTGAGGCACAGAAAAGTTACAAAAATTGCTTGGGGTCCCACAGCTAGTAAGTGGTGAAGCCAGGATGTGTTACCACTCTACTATGCTGCCGCTCATAATAGTTATGCTTTTCACTCCCAAGTACCTGACAAATCAAGTAAACATCCTACTAATACTACTAAAGCAATAAAGTTACAAGTGTTATGTTACAATATTCACTTTAAGCCCATGTTTTTAAGAGCTAAGTATTATACCTAAAATGTCTAAAAGAAAAAAAACCTCTGCCTCTCTCATTCAATACATCTTCTTAGCTACCCTGATGCCTTCTAATGATGTCTAAGGCCAGTAACTCCAAGTGATCTCTCTCAGATTTGTATTTGCTTCCAATTAAATCTGCTTGACAACAGTTTTTCTGCCACATCACTTGACCTTATTTGCAGATTTTTTAAAAACTGTATTTGTGGGTAGCAAGTATTTACAGTTTTAAAAAGCTGAACAAAAGAAACTGTAAAATAATTTACAGCTCCTTTAAAACTCTTTTCGGTTGCATTTTCCCTTTGGAGTTAACGTCAGGAAAAATATAACAGTGTGAAAGTAAAATAAACAAGGTCATAAAAATGTGATTTTTGAGAATACATAAGCCAAAAATAAACACAGCCAAAATCATTTGAGCAATTTAAGTGAAAGCCATACTACTGCAAAGTTACCACCACTTGCTAACACATATAACAAATACCTCATGTCTTGGATAAGGGAGACCCTGAGTGTTGGCAACATAACTCCTGAGTCAGATTTTCTTCTTTCTGGTCCCAGGGCCACTAGGTAGAAAAATATCAACAAAGTGTTAGAAAAATAACAGTAAGAAAAAAAAAATCTATATGATTCACATTCTACAAATAAATACTTTAAAACTACTTTTGAAGAACAAATTTTGAAGACAAAAGATCAAATTGTTGTCACTTTATTAATGCAATCAACTGGCTATATTCTTCCCAGTTAATCTGGGGCTGTGTTTGTAAATTTAAAATGAATTATAAAAGACCACTTAGCAACTAATGTAATGTGTGCAAATTCTGGCCATAATGGCCAGTCATTTTCTAAAGTTATTCATACTAATTGAACTGGATAATTACATGAAAGCAGTATCTATAAATTAAGCCACTGAGCATGTGAATTATCTCTGGGCTCATGTATTGCAATCCCACAATCCCCCTATCCACCAGGACTTCAGATTGCGTGGCTGCTTTATAACGTTGACGAGATGCCACAGGAACCTAACTCTTGTTTACATGAATTGGCCTGTGGTGAAACGGGGTTCGTTATGTGTCGTTTCGCTTCAAGATGCAGAACCTCCCAATGACATTAAGTGAGGGCTTACTGTACTCAGGGGAAGCGGACCTACGCTGGCTGCTGCACATCCTTAGCGCTGCCATGGAGGCGGGAGAGACTCCCACCACCACAGCTGCACTCGCCAGCTGTGTGCCGAGCTTCTGGCTGGGCGGCGCTCCCCTGTGGGAGTGCACTGACTGCCAGGGGGCAGCTCTTGTGTGGAGTGTCTGCCCCTTGGTGGTCAGTGTGCGTCACAGTTTCCGGTTGTTACATCATTCAATCTATTTGCAAATTAGCCTTTTATTATATAGGATGGTCTTTGATTACCCACCCACCCACACGATCGGGGCCAGGGAGGGATGCGGGAGGGAAATCTCTATATTATCTGCACATTGTGCTGTGAACCAAAAGCTGCTCGAAAATATTAAGTCTACTAAAAAAATACTAAGAAAGTCGACCCTGCTATGGCCCTTTTGCTAAGACAAACCTTTTCTATTCTTTTGCAACTCTCTTTTTTTAAAAATATATTTTATTGATTTTGTACAGAGAGGAAGTGAGAGAGAGAGAGAGTTAGAAACATCAATGAGAGAGAGTCATCGATCAGCTGCCTCCTGCACACCCCCCACTGGGGATATGCCCACAACCAAGGTACATGCCCTTGACCGGAATCGAACCCGGGTCATCCCCTTCAGTCCCCAAGCCGACGCTCTTCCATTGAGCCAAACTGGTCTTGGCTCTTTTGCAACTCTTAAATGTCTGACTCCTGATAGTGCTCCTTTTGAGGGAGTAATGATCTATCATCTAGGCTCATCCTGGCTGAATGTTAATAAGAGCAGTGCTCAGCTCTGGCCGGGTAGCTCAGATGGTTAGAGCATTGCCCCAATACGCTAAGGTTCCAGGTTCGATCCTGATCAGGGCACATCTGAAAATGCATTAATTACTAAGCTTAATTAGTAATAGTTGGCAAACAAAAAGTGTTTTTTGAAAAACCAAACCAAAACCAAATAAACCACCTGGATTTGAAAGCAGAGAGAACTGCTCATTTCTGTAACATTAGGACTCACTCTTTCTCAATAATGATATATCTCATTTTTAAACTGATGTGTTTATATGTATCTCACACTGTCATATTTTTAAATCCTAACTTCATGGGCTGAATCATCAAAAGTGTGAGAGCAATATTTATAAAATACACTCCTCCAAAGCAGACAATAATTTGACTTCAAAAGCTGCATGGTTTGTATTTATCCTCTTAAGGGCCAGTAAAATATTTAGCTTATGTTCATCTGTGCTTCATTGGCCCTTCAGCACCTGACAGTGCAGCACCGTGCCTGCACGGGGCTCTGAAGAAACACTTTGCGTTTCTTAGCCTTGAGTTCAGAGTTTTGCTGGATCCATGACTGACTGATGGGTGGCCACTGGAAACAGCTGGATCTCTGGGCTCCAGCTCAACCACCCAACATTTGGTCTGCCAACGCCACCAAGCTGCCAGTGTTGCCCGGCAGCTGCTGTCTAACAGCTGGACAGTCTCACATGCCTCACTTGGCACACGAGGCAAAGGCTTCTACCTCCCAGCCTTAAGCAAGCTTGGCTTTCCAGCATTTCATCCTAAAAATGGCTACTTTGCCCTCCTAGGAATTTATTTTTTCTAATTAGGGTAAGCTACTTTACTTATGGTCTTATGGGCTGAAAAGCTACATTTTCTTTATCTCTTTTTTAAAAAATATATATTTTATTGATTTTTTACAGAGAGGAAGAGAGAGGGACAGAGAGCTAGAAACATCGATGAGAGAGAACCATCGATCAGCCGCCTCTTGCACACCTCCCACTGGGATATGCCCGCAAACAAGGTACATGCCCTCAACCGGAATCGAACCCAGGACCCTTCAGTCCGCAGGCTGATGCTCTATCCACTGAGCCAAACCGGTTTTGGCTGAAAAGCTACATTTTCTACGAACAGAGGTAAGTGTTACAGAGTATATGCCAATGCATTTTTACTTTTTCAACAGAAAAGTGGGGCAAAGGAGATGGACATTAGAGAATGCTTTTAAAGTGGACCTCAGTCTTTATAAATATAGTTACATTTTGGGTCTTTAGAATCGTAACATCCTTTTAAGAGGGGTTCTCAGCTTGGCCAGTGTGGCTCAATGGCTGAGCGCTGATCATGAACCAGGAGGTCATATTTCAATTCCATCAGGGCACATGTCCATGTTTTCGGGCACAATTCCCAGTAGGGGGTGTGGAGGAGGCAGCCGATGATTCTCTCTCATCACTGATGTGTATACACTTCTTTCTTCCTCTCCCTTCCTCTCTCTGAAATCAATAAAAATTTATTACAACAATTTTTTCTAGCTGTTACATTAGCTACATTTAAAAACTAGGTTTCCTACAATAAGCACCACATTTAGGGTAGTATTGTGCTCTAGCAGCAATGAGGGGAATAAAAATAGAGCGCTTTAATCCTATTTGCAAGGCTTTATTTCTTTTCTTTTCTTTTTTTCTTTTTTTTTTTTTTTAGCATTTGTACACAAGACTTTATTTCTTAAGCTCGAGGTTGGCTTATGAGTTTAAAAAATTTTTTTTATACTTCTGAATGTCTAAAAAAATCTATAATTTTAGAAAAGTTTTCCAAATTTAGTATAAAACATTCTATCTCTACTAGGCTTTCCACTGTTCTACTTTTTGTGGAACAGATGGCTATTTTACATAAAGAAAAGCAAGCTCCTTGTTGTGAAAAATAACCCAGTTATCTAGGAATCCTACATAACTCTAATTAGCTAAAGAAGGGAAACACTTCTAACAATGATGTCCTGTTATAAACAGATGAAGAAATCTCACTCCTGAAGATTTTGGAAACATATATGCACATTGTTTCCCCTGAAAAACGAATGATGGTTATAAAACTTTTCTTTCAGAAAAAAAAATCACCCTAATACTGGTGACAGTAAGGTATACAGTCAATCTTCACTTAATATCGGTAAGTTCTTAGAAACTGTGACTAAAGCAGAATGATGTGTGACAAAACCCATGCTACCATTAAGAAAAGAAGGAAGGTGATTTTCCAGTCTGCTTGCTCTAGTTCAGGGTCACAAGTGGCTGGAGCCTCGCCTGGCAGAACGGGGGTACAGTGGGAGCCCACCCTGGACAGGGCGCCTCTCCGTCGCAGGGCGCACTCACACCCACGTGGACGCACACTGGGACAACTCAGATGCAGCAATCCACCTCACGCACACGCCTTTGGGATGTGGGAGGACACAAGTCCCGGAGACAACTCCACAGAGAACGCGGCCATGGCCTGGAACCGTCTTTTTCTTCATCAACGTTATAACGAAACAACTTTGAAAAAATGACATTATTCGAGAACACTGCTGCACTTGCATGATCCTTTACATGTGTTATCTTATTGGATCAACATTACAGTCTTGGCATAGATACTGTTATTTTTTTCTGTCTCGTGAATGAGGAAGCTGAAGATCAGAAAGTCCTGACAGCTAGTACACAACATTGCTCCTCCTACTTTACCCCAGTACTGACGAGATGGGGCTAGTGTGAGTGGGGAGAGAGACAGAGACAAAGCTGATTCTTCACATGGCCCCCCCATGCTGCCTCTTCTGCAGAAACAACCAAACCAAGGAACTCTCACCTGGTGACTCTGCAAGGTGCTCTTGCTTCTCTTCTCTGTCCTGAAACTGAATTAAATGTGACCACAAAGCCGACTTCCCCTGAAAGTACAAGGGATATAAAAATTTTCATTTTATAAGAAATAATTCATTAAAAAAACAATTTCTCATCAAAACCATTCACGCTGAAACAGCCATTGTGATGTCTGGCGACCCAAGCGCATCCGTTCCTAGCTGTGTGATGCCATGAGGGTCACTCTTTGCCTCACTGAGAACACTGGCAACAGCTGGGAACGGCAGCTTCTAAGCACGAGGCCAGAAGTGGAGGCACACAGGTTGCTGACTCTGGCTTGGTTGTTTCTTAGTTGCATGTGTTAGGGCTCTCTTATGCTAGCCACACCAGAAACCAGGGAATTAAGAGGCTCTAGCAGCACATGATGTTTTTTACACATCCATATGCAAAATATAATAAGTTTCAATATATGGAATGGCAACCGGAGAAGAAAGTTGGGACAAGAGGAGAAAGAGACAAGGGAAAGAAGGAAGAAATATGCACCTGACTGAAACAACAAAACAGCGCAAAACCAGAAAGGGACAGGAGAGAGACAAAAGCAAAGAAACCATCTTAATTAAAAAAAAAAAAAATTCCATTCTGAATAACTAACTTAACATGAAAAGAAGTGCCAATTCTGGCTGACAGACGTCTTTGCTAGACAGTGACACGGGCCCTGAGTGGAATCCATGGGGACAGAGCCTCTACAGAGAGGGGGCTGCTCCATCCTTTCCTGTTTAACAGGAAAGAGCTGCCCGCCTCCTAATCACGGGTTAGGTTTTCTTTTTCTGGAATCGAAACGCCTGGGGTGCGTTGCTAGTCATCCTGTGACAAGGAAGCCGACCCTTTCATTACGATGGTGTCCTTTTCTCCTCCTCCATCTCCTAACAAGGCCCCTAACAGCCATGTCGCCGCGGCGCGGAGAGGGTTACCTGCTTGACCAGCAAGCCGTGGCTCCATATCCTCTCCAGCAGGTCACAGAGGCTGGCGATCAAGGTGTTCTCCTCCAAGCCCGTGATGTTGGCTTCTCCGTGGCCCAGTTCCACGGCTTCGTGGCCCATCTTCTCCACCAGCATGCGTTTGGTCTGAAAACATCACATGTGGCCACAAGTGTTATCCCAGCAGTGAGGCCAGAGCCCAAGGCCATCACCGGATCAGGAGTCCGGGGGTCCCTGCATTATACTCTAATTGCAGATTTGTAGTCACCTTGGGAAAAGTGTCTTAATGTCCGTGGTCAACTCACTGGAGAAATATCATGTATACTTTTACCATTTTGTCAGAGAAACAGAGGGTCACTAAAAAAGACATTTTGAAACCACTTTAAAGTACCCCCATGTAAACATGTAAATGTTTATGCACGACACTTCTCAGATTACTAACTTGAGTAACATTGAGGAATTACATTGGACCTAGAAAATGCACTGTCAGAAGCTAAGACCCCACCCTGCCTTAGCAAACGGGCAGTATTTGCACTTAGTTCTGACTGCACTGAGGCAGAAGCCACAAGACAAAGCGGAACTCTCTCTGAGTGCACTAGGACTCTTGTTTTTTTTTTTTTTTCTCTTCCTCCTTTTCTGTTTCATTTCTTGTGTGCCCATGAGCATGCACCGAAAAATGGAAAGGAAATGGAAATCAGGTTCAGGTAAGCTGATTGACAGCAGTCTTAGCTGCTCTTATAAATTGTAAAGCGAGGGGGAATCTAGTTCCTTTCGGCAGGGACCTTGTCTGTCTGATTCAGCGCTGACTGCAGATGCTAAAAATAGGGCATTTATTGAATACACACAGAGCAAGTCCTGGAGAAGTGACTGACGGATGAATGAATAAAATTACTGGTTAAAATGTTCCGAGGTTTGTCAATTTGTATTGCTACCTCTGGTAAATACAGATATCAGAGAGGAGACTGGTGGATAATATACAAAAGCCCACAACACAGCGAGCATCTACTTTATGGACCTGCTCACACATGTATGGCACAGATAAGCTTCCAACAGATGCACATACAGACACACATACACACATAAATGCGCTGTCTTTTGCATAAGATGACAACAGCCCTGACACAGCTTCTGACTGGCTTAATAGCCATTCAAGTCACAGAGGAAGACAGCCATGGCTGAAAAGGGCACAAAACAGGGCTCCGAGGTCAGATTCTATGGGCCCCGGAGGAGCCACGGAGGCTCATGACCTCGGGAGAAAGCACACGAGGGTTGGGCCCTGGTACAAGTTTTCTTCTAGGGAAGCTGCGGGCTCAAACAGGGTGACCTCTGCTCATTGCAGCCCCACACGGGAGGAACCGTGAATGCGCTCCGTGTCCTCCCACCTGAGAGTCATACGTACCTTCATCCTACATTCCTTTAATAAGCCTTCTACAAATTTCCAGTTGGTCCGTGCAATCACAGCAGGAGAGAGGTCTGACAGTTTGGGTTGCCTCAGGTTTTTTCCTAAGCTTCGTGCCTCTTGCATGTATTTCTAAAAAATCAAAGAGCATTTTTAATGCATAGTCATCAGATATTCTTCTGACCTATTTAACCTTGGATAAAAGCAAGTGTGGGAACAACAGAAGTGTACACGTGCAGCAGCTGCAATTCAGGTTTCAGTGAGCCAGAAGGCAGAGGAGAGGGGCCCTATGCTCCCACCAACCGTCAGCCCCGTGAAAACGGGGACAGAAACCCCATCAGGTTAAAACACATACAAAACGAGACGGAACTGCTTCTAGTTCGGTCTCTTTATTGGAAAGACCCGAGGTTGTGATTAGTCAGGAGCATGGCTGGAATGAAAAAATTGGGCGTCTGGTTCTGCAGGAACCCAGTGATTCTCCGGCCACTGGTTTCCCACACCTCTCTCTGCAGATCAGGAGGCTCTCGGGCACTGCTCTGCTCCCAGCCCAACCCTTTCCTCAAATCAAGTCACAGCAGGAACTCTAGAATCTGGGGGCAACTGGTTTTATGACCACAGGCGTTCTGTTTATTCATAATACAGGAATAAAACAAGCCCAGCTCCCTCACGAGAAAGGCGTGACTCTGAAAAGTGGCCCACACACAGGAGGCCGAGTGTTCCTGTGACATGGTCGTCCTGTGCCTTCTTCCACGATCAAGAGAAAGTGGGAACATCGCCATGCTTGTGCTGGCTCAGAGGGTAGCTGAGAAACCCAGTCCACTGAGCTTGAGCTTTGGTTAGTACGTCCCCAGGAAAAAAACACAATCACTACATATGATGTGTGCGGAACGCCTGCTGGCTCTTTCTGTGCCACCTGCAAAAGCTCATTCAGGTACCTTATGTTTGCTTTAGGACCACAGGACAGAATCCCCCAAACTCCATGTACCGTAGGACCATATTTAGAGAATAACTACTCTAAATTATATAGTAAAACTAGCAGTTTGTTGGGGAGGGAGATTGCTAGCCAGCGCATCCTCCCACAGACATATGTGAAATCTATCTTACTATCTTAAGGGCAGAATTTGAAACTGTAAGTGAAGATGTGTAAAATCCTTTGCATTCTTTAAATGAAAGGGAATTTATACATTTAGTGTATTTCTCCTCCAGGAGAAAAATAATCTGATAAATCTGTTATAAGTTGTTTTTAAAATCCCACTGATTAGGAATTCAACAGACTAGTTTACCTATTTCCCAACTCCTCTGATGAAATGCCACACTAACGAAATGACCTGTTTCTTTTCCTGTGCAACCATTTTAAATACAGGTATGAAAATAAAATGAACTCCACAAGCATTGAGTTCCTCTTTCTGCTTCAAACCATTTTTAGAAGGAAAGCTGAGAATGAGAGACAACTATCACCACTAGGAAGCTAAGTGTTAACAGGCCTATTGCAATATCCTGAAGGTCAGTTTTCAAAGAAATAAAAGCAGGAAATAAAGTCTTAGAAAAAACTAACCTGAGATAGAGGCAGGGATCCCATGTGAGAATTATATCTGCAATTCCTATTATTTCAGGTTGTACTAATGTTATTTGGAATATTACGAATCAGAGATAGGAGATTGGTAAAAACAATGTTATCTGGTGAGGTTCTGTTTCTCCCCCATCCTCAGTTCCTCTGCCTCTAGGACTTGTGCAAACACAGAGAGAACCACTACAAGGCTCAATTCTCAAGAAGAGTTAAGTATGAAACTTGGCTTAGGAAGAAACACTGCTTGCAAGAAAAGAAGTGAGGAGCATGGTCAGGCAAGAAGGTAGGGAGAAAGAATAATTGGATTACTAATTAAGCACTATTTAAAACTTGTGTTCTAGTGTATAAATGGAAAGTTAGAATAGGGCTGCCCTTTGAGCGTATGAAGAGAAGAACACTGTAAAATTGGGTAAATTTATGCTAATGTCATAATAGGAACAAATTACAACAAAAAGTCCTCCTGCCCTGAGGGTGGCTGGTTAGGGTCACCTGGTATGTGGGGTCACGGAATAGGACCTGCCCGGAAGTCAGGAGTCCTGGGCTGCAGGCTGGCGCTGCCTTTGCGTATCCATCTATTATAGCTTTGGACAAGTTGCTTGGACTTCAGTGACCTCAGAGGTTTCTCTTAGTGCTAAGATTCTACCTTGATGACTGGATTTGATGACCACATTAAACACAGACCAGAAAGGGTAAATTAAAATGCTGTGGAGATAAAACCTAACCAAAAAGTTGATTAATAGTAAATCATTTCTGCAAAATGCTTAAACAAAAGGGAGTCTAAATATTTAATATAGTTTCCTTTGGAAGAAAAATAATTTGCTAAATCTTGTTCTCTGTTCTCCCTGCCAATCACACTGATTAGGGACTTGAAGATTCCCTGCCAACAGCATAGGATTCCTCGTGTTAGCACACACCACCACGAAAAGGTGCCAAACACAAGAGGCAGTGAAATGCAGAGAGGCTGCGTGTTCGTGTCTCGGGTGACGTGGGCCATGCTACAGCTCTGCGCACTCACGCAGTGGGTCGTTCAAGGAACACCGAAGGCGAGATTTGAGAACATCTGCAAAGCACTTTCAGGTTAAGGACATACCAGGCAGCACTCAGAGAAGGATTTTTTGGGAAGTCGTGCAGGAGGAGGTGGGCCCTGATCCCACTCCCAGAATGCCATGGAGTTCTGACAGACCAAAAGTTCCCTGGAAGGCTAAGAGGATGGAGAATGCCAAAGACAAAAAAAAAAAAAAAAAAAAAAGGATATGGGAGAAAGAGACAAGCAAAATAAGCATGCATATGATAAAGGCACAGCAAAAGAAAAAGGAGAAAATACAGTAGCACAAAGAAAAGCACTATATAAATTCAGTTTTTAAGAAAATGTTTAAATCATATAGGCATGAACGAAAAAGAAATATATATTTAAAATGTTTTCTGCTTTATTTTTACATATTTGAGTGTAGACTATAGTTAATAGATTTTCTGATTGCATTTTTTCCCTTTTGATCTCAAGAAATAATAACTTATTTAAAATTACTTAAACATATAATTATGGTTTTATTTTCCAAGTAGTACAAATAAAGCATAGGATCTTAATTTTAAAATAACTTAAAAAAAACTTTTAAAATGGTGTCAGCAAGACAAAGATGAAGAAGAAAACAAAGACAAAGACCAGACAGAAACATCTCTACTTACTATGTTTAAATTATGCTTAAAATAATGTCTATGCTTCTTATAAATTTTTTTCCCTACAGGAGATATATTGACCAAAACTTTATCTTAAACTTGGCCTTGTAATTGTGATACACAAGGAGACTTGCATTCGAGCCTTTTTTAGATGTACTAAAATTACAAAAATGGGGGGGGGGGGATGTGTTTTCAGCTCTAAGTATAAAAGGATTACTATTTAAAATATAACTGAACTGCTTTTTTGAAAAGAACGGGAAAAACCCTATACAATGACACCTGCCGGGCTGCGTGAGCCTCGCTGGTGGCTCTGCATCAAGCATCCCAGGAAGGCAGCCCACATACCTCCCTCAAGTCGTTGTCCAGGCCCACGTGCTCGGAATGCTGGCGGAGGCGGTCTTTCCTGCGCTGCGTGGTGGCGCTCCGACTCACCCAGCGACTGAAAAATAGGATTCAGAGGTGAAAACAAACAAACGCAAGCAATGTCATCACTTAACTTTAAATTAGAAGGAACTGTTCAAAAACAAAAGACTGACAGTACTTATTCTTTTTAAAACACATGACAGCTTTACTGAGATATAACTTAAATACCATACAATCACCCATTTAAAGCGTGTAGTTATGTGGTGTGCAGTATATTCAAAGAGATGTGTAATCATCACCACAATCAAGACTTTTTTTTTTTTTTTTTTTAAAAAGCATAGTTATCCCCTCTGTAATGACCGTCTCCTTTCCAGCTTGCCCACCCAACACAACCCCAAACCCTGAGTGAATAATATTACTCCCTCACTTCCTTAGTCTCATATCCATGTAGGTTTTTTATTTAATTCACGATTTTTCAAGAATCACTTTACCTGCCCTTTATCAAGTCTCCCCCAACCCCTTCAAAGACTATTTCCACACTTTTCACTTTATTCTCAGGTACCTCCACGCAACTGAAGACCCACCTTGCCTCCTTCCTCATGCCCTCTATTTAGTGATGCATACACATAGACATCTCATCTTTCTTCTAATCCCAAAGTATGACATATATTGGCCATGCCTCAAAACTATTTTCCACCTATATATCCCTGACCAATTCTCTCTTGCCTTCTTCAGCCTGCTCTATTCACCACCACCTTTGCTGCCAATCCTATTTTTCTCTCCCACCTGAATATTTCCTTTCAGTTTACAAGCATGATGACCCTTTACAGTTATATTGAAGTCTCTTTCTTCACTCTTCTTATGTAAAAACTAGAGGCCAGGTGAATGAAATTCGTGCATGGGGTGTGTGTCCCTAAGCCCAGCCTGCACCCTCTCCAATCTGGGACCCCTCATTAAATGGACAGATATCACTCTCACAATCCAGGACTGCTGGCTCCCAACTGTTCACCCGCCTGCCTTCCTGATTGCCCCTAGCTGCTTCTGCCTGCCAGCCTGATCATCCCCTAACCACTCCCTTGCCAGCCTGACTGATGCCTAATTGCTCCCCTGCCAGCATGATCACCCTCCCTGCAGGCCTGGTCCTGCCCAACTGCTCTCCCCTGCAGGCCTGGGTCCTTCCAACTGTCCTTCCCTACAGGCCCATTCGCCCCCAACTTCTTGATCTGGTTAAATAATTAATTTATTCTTTGCATTATTAAACCTTATTTACTAAGCATAATTTTACCAAAGATAATCGTATTTGCTGAATCACTAAGGATTGCCTTTGCCTTGTAAACAGCATATTAAATTATTGCTAACAGTTGATCAACCACTTACATGGGCATGGTTATAAATCCCTTTACCCTGAAATTAGTTCTGAGATATTTTTTCTTTCAGACTACAGTCTATCTGAAAATACAAAGCTTGGACTTTGTGTGGAAACGGGAAACCTTGAGATTATATATAAGATTAAAAGCAAAAAAATATGGCAGTAAGATGTAAAAACTGAAGTATTCCCTCCTGAGTGCCCCCTCCTTCCCTTCCCTGCTTTATTCTTCATCATAAATCTTATCACTGCCTGGCAGGTTATTTATTTTACTTAATTATTATTTTTTGTTTCTTTTCTCCTACCTGAAAGCAGGGATTTTGGTTGTTTTGTTTATTGCTAGGCATTCAGTATGTAAGACAGTGCCTTGCATTTAGGAGGGGCTCCATAAATACTTGCCAAATGAATGAATGAGCAATCTAATGCTATCCAAAGGAAATAAAACTATTAAAATGAAGTTTCCCTGCATCAAAGTGATTCAAACGGGATATTTTGTAAATAAGAAAACTGAATAAATTGATGGTTAATCTGTTTTGATGGAAAATTCTCACCCATTTCTGGAAAATATAACATTATATCTAACACCTGACCTGGAAAGTGTGAACTCCCAACAGTCAGCATCTCTGAGCAAATTTCAAGTTCAGTGTTTATGAAAGTAAGGTCAGCTCTAATGGAGGGTAAAACCCTGCCAATTAACTGAACACACTGCAGTTTCTTTTCCTTTTAAGAGTCTAATATTTATCATTATAAATCTCTATCCCTTACAAATCTGTCACAAATGTTCATCATTGCTTTATTAAAAAGCACCTTGGGAAATAAGAGTCAAATACCAAAAATTCTGCAACATATATAGTACAGCACATCATCTGAATAGTAGAAACATCATATTGTTAACATCACAATTAGCTGGTATATTAATGATAGAAAAAGAGCAAAAGGGAGACAAGACATTATAAGCATGGTCACCCGAGCAGCTTCACAGGAAGCTACACTCCACACCTGTCCATTCCCTGCAAATCACCGGGGGAAGGAGATTTGCAGGGAATGGACAGGTGTGGAGTGTAGCTTCCCAACAAAGGGGAATGGGCACATGCACGTCACACAAGTCAGTGTGACGTAGGAAAAGTGCGACCCTGTCCATCCCAGTGCAAGCCCACAAACACTTGGGAACTCATAACCCCTAGACAGAGGTCTCTCTCTCTGCTGTTCTGCTCTTGCTTTGCTTCCGCTTCCTTACAGTCTCTTGCTCTGTGACTTGCCTGCCATGTGGTCTTAAGTAGTTGCATGGCCCATGACCATGTGGACACCACATGCACTAGACTGTAGCTGAGAACACAAGCCAAGCTAGCCGGATGCTTGGACTGGACTTTAATATGGAGCAGGAACTCTGGGCAGGGGCCTTAATTCTTGCTCTAAAGACAAGGCTGGGCATTTTCCACGGCAAGATGGAGGGAGAAGGGACCTTAGAAAGGAACCTCCTTAATTTTACATCACAATACCTCATCCTCCTGTGCAAGTCTCAGGAAATACCTTTTCTTGCAAGACTACAAGAATCCCACTTCCACTGGACCCAAAGGGCACCCCAATGATAATACTCTTAGACCATCTCTTAAGAATCTTCATAATACTTATTCTAAATGTGCCACTTTGGACAAAAGGCATAATTCCACTGATTCTACATTTACCTTCTGAAAACTTAGGTGGCTCAGTGCCACGTCCATGTTGTGTTTACTTCAGTCTTCCAGCCCATTTCTTTGCCACATCCTGGCTTCTTTTTCCCCCCTTTCTCTGACTCTCTTTAATTAGATCACAGGTGTAAAATGGTATTTTCAGATGAGAAGAAAGTGATTCCAGTTTGTCCAAAGTTCCTAAGCTGGTTAGTGGTTAAGAATGAACTAAGTTCCAGAACTGCTGATTTCCCAAAATTCTTTCGAACTTACTGTAGTCCACATTAATAACCTTCTTTGCATCTTTTCTTGTAAAACCCTTATCCCCTGTTAAAATACTTGTATTCACCTAAAAACAAGGACTCCCCTAAACCCAAATAACTGAGCCCATTTCTAACTACATTCAGGTATTTTCTGAAAGGAATAATCTTTCAACAGGATTTATTTTTCTTTTTGCTTGTTTTGCAATTTTTGCACTCAATGCTTAAAAAATATAAAGATGGTGTTATGGGTTGAATTGTGTCCCCAAAACAGATACGTTGACGTTTTAACTCCAATACTTGTGAAATGTGACCTTATTTAAAAATAGGGTCTTTCCAGATGTAATAAAGTTTAAGGTCATCAGAGCAAGCCCTAAACCAATAAGACCAGTGTGCTTATAAAAAGAGGAAAGTTTGGACACATGCCCAGAGAGATGACACTCATGTCAACAGGAAGACAGAGACTGGAATTTTGCTAATAGAAGCGAAGAGATGGGGCTACCGGAATTTGGAAGAGGCAAGGAAGGATCCTCCCGTAAAAGCCTTGCCAATACCTTGATTTTGGATTTCCCCCTTCCAGAACTGTAAAACAATCTATATCTGTTGTTGTTGTTGATTGAAAAAAAAAAGTATTTTTTATTGATTTCAGAGAGGAAGGGAGAGGGATAGATAGAAACATCAATGATGAGAATCATTGGCTGGCTGCCTCCAGCACGACCTCTCCTGGAGATCGAGCCTGCAACCCAGGTATGTGCCCTAAGCAGGCATCAAACCATGATCTCCTGGTTCAGAGTTTGATGCTCAACCACTTAGCCATGCCAGCTGGGCAGTTTTCTGTTGTTTTAAGTCACCACGTTTGTATTATAGTACTTCGTGACCGCAATCCTAGGAAACTAATACAGATAGTAAAATGACACAGATAATGAAAGTACAACTTTTATAATTCCATTAGACAGTATTAGCATTACAGTTAAACACAGTCAAAGAAAAGCCATTGCCAAGTGCACATTACCTAAAAAAGAAAAATCTCTAGTCTTTGGATTCTTTTACATGAGCAAATTAAAAGTCAAACTCTACCTCAAATGAGTTAATTTGGCCTTTCAAAAAGGTAATCAAATTGGTAAAATGTTTAATGGCTAAGCTATAATCCATTAGAGCTGCAGAGCACACACCCTTCATTCATTCCTCAACCAACTACTAAAGAATGTGCTTACTTGTTATTAGTTGGCCCTGTTGCCAAGACATCGGACTGTAACTTTGGAAAGAACCCCTGCTCATATTTGCCTTGACCAATTTTCATATCAAGTAGATGAGGGTGGATTGCAGTGTGATCCATTTTCATCAGCCGCTGCTCAACTGACTGGGCTATAAATGGAATTTATAACAAATTAGAGACATTGGCTAAGCCTTAAAAAGTAATTCTTCCTCCATTCATGCACACCTACAAGGAACTCATTCTTTCTGATATCCCGAAACAGATTTTTACCAAAGCTTTTCAAAATAAGTGTAATATAAGTACAAAAAAAAAAAAGGATAATATTAAGTAAATGTTGGATAATTAATTTTCACAATATTTCTGCCTTTGTCAAAAGTAAGGCAGTGGGGATAAAAAAAATCATTAAAAATGTCCCATAAGTGGGAAATTCAACATTCTTAATGGATGGCAAATATTTCCCTTGAGCTGAAAGACAGGTAAAGAGAAGGGAAACAGCAAGTATAGAAGCCTTATATTAACTGTATTTCTTTGTACAAAGACCTATTAAATGGTTGTGGTTCTTTTTGTAAAAGCAAGGAATTTGTAAAACAAGGAATTATGTGAAGTTATTTTTAGCAACAGTCACATTCTCATTAGTAGGAGTGTCTATTAGATTAAGAGGAGTAATACAGAGACAAATCAAACAAGCAGGCATTTAGAAAATGTCCAGAGGATAAAAACTGACCTTTTAAAGAATGGGACAGAGTTAAAAGACAGGAATTGCTCAATATTCCTATTTTTAAACCACTGAAAATTAGGGACTGTTTCAAAGACCCAAGAAATAGTGAATTATGTCTTTGGCTAAAAAAAAAAAAAAAAAAAAAAAAAAAAAAAAATTGGCCCTAGCGGGTTTGGCTCAGAGGATTGAGCGTCAGCCTGTGGACCTAAGGGTCCCAAGTTTGATTCGGGTCAAGGGCACATGCCCTGGTTGGAGGCTCGATCCCCAGTGGGGAGCATGCAGGAGGCAGCTGATCAATGATTCTCTCTCATTGATGTTTCTATCTTTTCCTCTCCTTCTCCCTTCCTTTCTGAAATCATTAAAAAGATATATATTTTTTTAAAGTCACATTGACTTTTAAAATCTGGACTTAAATGTTTTCATTAACTGAATTTTCAAGAACAAATGTAGTATTTGAGAATCAAGGCTATGTCTCCAATCCTCTGCCTAGAAATTACTAATACAGGAGGACCAGCAGGGACCGTGATTGTGTGATAAATAGAACACACTGCGCAACTGCTAACGGTGGGATTATCTTGCCTCTTTCAAAACCACAGATTTAGTATTGCCAGTTATTGCCCAAACATAGTCTAAAAAATTTATTTTTTTGGGTGGGAAGGGATCTGTCCATGACACTCTACTCTTGTGAGAAGAACACGCTTACACCTTCTTATGTGAGATCAGTGCTTCACCCAAAACGGTTGTTTGTGTCTGACGATAATAGGATTAAGGGAAGCTTTGATGAATTTACTATTACCCTCTATGACATAACGTCAAAATGTTAAACTTCCCTAATTTTTCTTCATAGAAATTTATCCAAAAAATTTTTGAACTTCATTTTATTTTTAATGCATAACTTGAAACTTATCTTGAAACATAGTCCCTATGTTCTATGCTGGGCCAAGATTTGTTTAAAAAATATTTTTTAAATTGATTTCAGAGAGGAAAAGAGAGGGCGGGGAGAGAGAGAAAGAAATATCAATGATGAAAATCATTGATCAGCTGCTTCCTGCATGCCCCCTACTGGGGATCGAGCCCACAACACGGGCATGTACCCGTGACTGGAATCGAACCTGGGACTCTTCTGTCTGCAGGCCGAGGCTCTATCCACTGAGCCAAACCAGCGGATGCCATGTTTTAATGTGAAATGATATTTAATTTTCAGCAATGACCCCTGGCACTCCACAGCCCTATTTATGCTCTCAATGCTTCCTAATATTTATAAAGCACAATTAACAGATGGTTTAGGCAAAATAATGCTTTGATTCATGGCATGAAGTTCCTGCCAATTTTATGTTCCATGAAATACTACAAAATTCCATCTCTGCCAACTCGTGCCTCTGTCCTCGTGAAAGGAAAATGAGCTTCACTTTTTTCCGTTGAATTTAAGTGACAGAGAAATCCATCTGATACTGAGTTATTCTCCTCTGGTTAGGAATCTTTTTAAAACATAAAAATCATAATTCACAATGAGCTACTCTCAGGTTTACATGTAAGACTGCCATAGGGAACATAATGCAGAGTTACTTTTCAGTGATTATGCCACCAGTGAATACTGAACATTCAGAGATGATTAAATGCCTGCTTTAAGAGGTCACGGCTGTTATACTTTCAAGGGTTTATGCCAATATCCAGTTTTTGTGATTGGTAAGGGAAAAGCAAACTGCATTACGGTCAACTTGTTGCCTTTCTGCACAGAAATCGTGAGGTTCTGGTGCCACAATGTCAACAGCAGATAACCTCTGCCTAAAGAATTCACCTGCAAATCAAAATCCTTTTTAGTGAGAAGCAAAAGAGAAACAACAAGAGACAAAAACAATACACAATAAAAATCCAATGCTGACAACAAAATCCCAGCCTTCTAAGCGTATGCTGGAGGAGGGGGGAAGACAATTTTATCTGATAAAAGGAACAATTGTGCCCTCTTTGAGAAATGAACAGTCACAGCCAGCTGCCTCTTTTTACTTTTTAAAAAAAGTCTCTGATAAGTTAAATTCCTGGGAGCCTGCTGACTGCTTAGGCTGAATTTCATTTTCATATCTGTTAGATCTATCATGGTACATTATCAAGAGTATTATGTAATTTCTGACATGATAGTGGGAGCATCAGATTCTCTAAGAGGCTGAAAGAAAATCTATGTTAATTGAAAAGATTTCTGGAAGCACACAGGGGAATGGGTGCTGAGCTCCATTAAAAAAAGTTCTGTCAGAAAGGGAGGCGTGAAGTTGGCTCAGAAAGCCAACTTTGGATGGCCTTGAAAGCACTGGAAGTCAGACGAGACTCCAGCAGGTGAAAATCACTGATTCATTCTGTCCCTCAATTTCCAGAGACACAGCAGTACTTCTGCTCCCTGAAAGGCTCCAAGGATCTACCCTCAAGAGCACAACAGGACGATGGTCCAGCCAGCTCTAGGGAGACCTCTGTGCTTACATGAGACATTATTTATCTACTTCTCTCCCCTTCAAAATGCAGCACCTACAGCCTCACAACTCCCTGACTCTGATCTACGGACATAAAGTGACAAAGGCAAGTTCCAGAGCAGGGCAAAGACACTGCACATTTGCTATCTCCTTTTTCTCCAGACGAAAAACTGCTTTCCAATAGCTTCTACATTTGAAGAAACATTAAATCAAAGGAGCGGGCCCTCAGGTGATAAATATGTTTACTTGGCAAACAAAGAGTTAGGAGCCAGGATAAATACATAAAATGGGGTGGATTGGTACCTTTTACGTGTTTCTTTGTTAAGTGCGTGTTTCTTTGTTAAGTGCGTAGCTAACATCATAGTGAGGCTTCAGGGGCTAGAATCAGTCACACCTGGGTTCAAATCACGACTCCACCAAACACTGACTATTATAATGACTATTTATTTCGTAGACTACTATATTATGCTGGCCCAAAACTCCTAATTCTTGGAGGGGAAAACTGGTGTCATGTTTAGGAAACTGCTAATTTGAATATGAGAATCCAGAGATGTAATCTCAATAAAGAAAAGCTATTATAATTAATGGCACCATTAAACTAAATATACAGTCATAGTTATGTAAATTAGACAGCATCTCAGATTTACTACTTTAAATTAATAATTATCTTTTCCTGGATAAAAAGAAAAGAAGCCAGAAGTAAAAAAAAGCAACATAAACAGCTAGACATAAATTAAGATTTTTTTTTCCCATTAAGGCAATAAAGAAAACACAGTAAGAATCATAGCAACCTTGTAATTATACTCCATTCAATTTATCATTTTTCCTCTTCTAAGAGAAAAGGAATGTCAAGTAGGAATGGGATGGACATTAACTCACAGAAACAGAAGGGAACAAAACTAAAGAAAGTTCCTTTTACTTGAGGACAAGCCATCAAGTCTAAAACTAAAAATATTTTGGTTTATAAGGCCAACGACGTACACAAAACAATCGTGGATTTTAAGTTAATTTTAAAAGGCCTGGCGAACGCACCTGCTTCTTTTAAAGTGCTGCATTTCTGATATATGGATGTCCGCAAGGTGGGTGCCCTCACGTTGTACAGTCCTATCTTCTCAATCCGAGAGTCGAAGACCCGAAGCAAAGGGTCTTTCTCCTCCCACTGAGACATAATTTTGTTATCAATAAAGGTGGCAAACATCTGGGTTTCAATGAAGCGTGAAAGGAATGGCAGGTATGGCTCAGGCTGGTCACACAGAAAGGAAGCCTGTAATGAGATAATTAAAAAGTTACTACGGCAAAGAGATCCATCTCGATACGACATGATAAACCCAAAAATTATGTTGCTAAGGTCATTCTTAAAAAAAAAAGAAATCTTTGTTGTTGACAGTATTACAGATGCCCCCCTTTTTTCCACCACTGCCCCCCTCTACCTGGTTCCCATCCCGCCCCAGGCCATCACCACATATTGTCTGTGTCCATGGGTAATGCATAGATGCGTATGTTCTTTGGTTAATCTTTTCCCGTCCCCCTTCTTCCCTCAGATTCATCAGTCTGTCCCATGTTTCCATGCCTCTGGTTCTGTTTTATTCATCGGTTTATTTTGTCCATTAGATTCCTTATTTGTTTAGTTTGATTTATTTTTTTTGAAATATTATCACATACAAAACTGACAAAATTCAAAAATTCTTAAAAATTCACTTTGCCTTATTTCATGGAATTTCAGTTACTTAGGTCTTTATCTCTGATCCTACCTTTCAAACCTGATTTACATTCTGATACTCATGACCATTATGTAGAAAATAGAGCATCATTAGTGAAAGATGATGGGTCAGTTGCTACAGGACCATCGATCATCCACTTCACTGACCATCAAATTTGACCCCTTTAGCCAGGACCGGTTTGGCTCAGTGGACAGAGTATCAGCCTGCGGACTGAAAGGTCCCAGGTTCAATTCCAAACAAGGGCATGTACCTTGGTTGCGGGCACATCCCCGCTGGAGGGTGTGCAAGAGGCAGCTTATCGATGATTCTCTCTCATCGATGTTTCTAACTCTCTATCCCTCTCTCTTCCAATCTGTGAAAAATCAATAAAATATATTTAAAAAAATTTTTTGACCTTTTCCCCCAGCCAGCGATCATTTCTTCTGCTCTCTGTTTCCAGCCTATCCAACATACCTCCAAGTCGTAAGGCAGTGAGGTGATTACCTGATACAGTAATGATATATACGCAATAACCTTAACTAAAAACCACATGGGGTTTGTCTTTACGGGTGGAATCTTTTTGTTCTTCTTCAAGTGGATGTTTTACTAGGCCCCAACTCTGTCAGAGACTGATGGGTGAGTATTAGTTCAAGATCAGACTCCTTCTGGACTTGTGCTGACAGAATAGTCTGGGCCTTAACTAAAAAAAGGGTTTTCTAAAAAACTATCCCAAGCAAACCAAGCCTTTGGAAAAACGTGCACAACACGCTCCTGTTACCAGTTTGTCTGCTGCACAGAATGGCTCAGTAAACTGTAACCAGTTTCTAATTCACAGTGTTCATTTGTTTGTGGTCCTTCGGGTCTCTGTGTGACTAGAGATCCTAGCTGCACTTTGGCACCAGCTGAAATTTGACGAGGAATGACTACTTCAAGCTGCTGGGTTGGTTTGACTTCTCGTTCTTAGAGGATGGGAGGGCAAGTTCTCATGTAAGATTACTCTCCTGCATATTCGTCCGCTTCTTCCTAGCACATTTCTCATTCTGAAACTTAAGAGAGCCTTTAAAAAAACTTCCTTACAGAAACCCCCTTACTTAATTTAAGTGCTTCCATAGTTGTTATATTTACACATCCAAATAGCCAGATCAAAGTTCACAGTAGTCTCTAGATATCAGTTCATCTCCTTAAAAGGTATTTCACAGATAAACAGCAAGTTTATAGAGCAAAAAGCCTTCTCCACCGCTAAACAAGGCCAAATGTCTGGCTTTGATATTCAGACCCTCATGGACCACAACATTTAAGGTCCTCAGAGACTTGGCTTGCACCGCTAGTATGTGACAGTCCTGTAAATTGTCCTAGTGAAAAATTAGATGATTACAAGCATTCTGGAATCCGACATGAAACTTTCATTTCTCTAGAGGTTATATAAAAAGGATTCCATTTATAGTTTCAAGCTACATAAAGATTAAGGAGGAAGAAAGTACCAGGGCCTGATTTAGAAAAGGATTTGAATTACCCCAAGCATCATGAGTATACACAGTAGTTCCAAGCTGAACAGGAAAAAAAAAAAATGTGAAGAAATAGTTAAACTTAAGGAGAAAGGAACCTGAGAGCACAGATACATCTGGAGAAGTGAAAGCTTCTGAAATTATTTAAGAAGTCTTCACTTCTTATCTCAAACATAAAGGGCACCAGAACTTAGCTGTTCATCAGAAAAGTATCTGATGAAATCAGAAAATAAGTCTTTTATACGTCCCACTCTTAAGAGAATTTTAAAATGAATGTTTATCGGGCAGATGCTCCAAGAGTGTAGATTAGGCTCTTAGAACGGGTTGGCCCCTTTAAGAGGTCTTTCACAACAAAAGGATACAATTTAGCGAAAAGCCATAATTCATTCTAATGGCAGTATCATGCCCCAGCTACCACAGAGGCAGGGGACAGAACGACACCCTGGTGACCAGAAAGAGTCAATGTCCCTCCCTTAAGTGCTTTTGTTGGGTGGGGGGTGGGGGTGGGGGGAAGAGAAGGATATGGGGGAGGAGTGTCTGATGGATATGTCAAAAAAAATGGCAGAATACTCTGGGGTAAACCTTAGTAAGACACCTCAACGCCAGCAGGACAATCAAAAGCTGGTGCTGCTTTCTGTCTTCCTTTCCCCAAAACTGGAACAGAGCCTTAGGCTCATAGTCATAAAACCTAATTCATTCCTCTTTCTCTCTTTTTGATCCTCGGATGAGATTAAAAATTTGGCCTCTGAAACCAAACTGTTTGTTACCTTTAACATGGACAAATTGTAACTTCATTATATTGAAGACAAAATATAAAAACAGGGATTATTAAAAAAGGAATAGACTACGCCTGATCCTAACTAAAATAAGAGTCAATGAAACTCTTACATGGTCAGATAGTGTTAACAGATTTTTAAAAACCTGTGAAATTTGGGTTTCTGTCATTCAAACATTTTCAAGTATAGCACATTTAAAAAATGAAATGAGAGGCAATTTAATACGAAATTCAGTAGCCAACTTAATGAGCTACTTGGATTTGCTTTCCTGAGTAATTGTTTTATCTAGCGTAAAATACTGGTAAAAGAAAAGTTCTTAAGGAAAGGGAGAGAGGGGGGTGGGGAAATCTGTGTTAAAAAAAAAAAAAAAAAAGTTAACAAAATCAAGTAAGAAAGCCCAGTGAAGGAACCACAAAAGGAAACTAGGGCGCTTTTTACTTTGTCGAAGTTCTGCATCTGTTCCCGGTTGGTGAGCCAGGACTCCATGTCCTGGGCGCTCTGGATCACAAAGGACTCGTAGTCCGCGAACATCTGCGTGAAGCGGTTCGCGAACACCTCTCGGAGCTGCACGTTGAGCTGGTAGTCCCTGAGCTCCGCCTCTTCACACTGCAGCTTCAGATCCTTTTCCTTTTCACCCAGAGAGGCAGAGAGGTCCATGTTCTCCACGGTCACCCCAGTCCGCTTGGAAAGCGCCTGGAGCCGGGCGATGGTTTCGTTGCCCTTCAGTAGCTCATACATGCTGATGCTGTTCGCGGGGATGTTGCCGTTCTTTCTGTCATTGGCCAAGTCTTTCAGAACCAGGTTCTTCAGCTTGGTGGCGCTCTCGCTGCCGTGCAGGCTGCCCTCGGGAGGGATCCCGAACTGAAGAAGAACCTCAGAGAGTTCCTGGATAAAATCCACTTTGTTGGGGAACTGTGGAAATTCTTCCGGCAACTCGATAAAATGGTTGTCAATATCCACAAAACACAAGTTAGCCTAAAAGAAGGGGGTTGGGGGAGAGAGGGAGAGAGAAAAGGTTTTAGAATAAAGGAATTTTAAGTTCTAAAATATCCTTGCCAATTAATAGAAACAAAAATCACAAATTACACAGCTTTTTGTGTTAACCTTCTCAAGGTTAAGAACTTTTTATTCTTTAAAAGGAAATCTGTGCTGCCAGCAGTTTCCCCTTATGTGAGTATTCTATATCAGATTTAATATAAACAAATAATGTTCCTGGGTCTCATCAATTTATTAAAATCAAGACATGCTTCTGTAATATACGGTATTCCCAAGTGAGTGAAGGTGCACGGACTGATAGTAAGTACTTCACAAATAGAAGGCACTGCGTGTGCTCACTGAATGAGCTTGAACTTTCAATGCCATTCCACGGCTCTACCACCGTTTGTAATTTAGAAATAACAACTACGCCGAGACCGGTTTGGCTCAGTGGATAGAGCGTCGGCTTGGGGACTGAAGGGTCCCGGGTTTGATTCCGGTCAAGGGCATGTACCTTGGTTGCGGGCACATCCTCAGTAGGGGGTGTGCAAGAGGCAGCTGATCGATGACTCTCTCTTATCTGGATGTTTCTAAACTCTCTATCTCTCTCCTTTCCCCTCTGTATAAAAATCAATAAAATATATTTAAAATAAAATAAAATAAAATTTAGCAGTTATAGTACTCCCCCACCCCCACCCCGGGGGAGGGGAAGAAATGGGATAAAATTGGCAATCCAAAATCACAGCAAATCCACACATTTTTACTTTATCCCAAATTAGCTTCAACCTCTTAGACAACAAACCCATTTCAGAAGTTATTAGGTAAGAACAGGAGGCAGAGGGAGGTGGCAGAAGCAGTGCTTAGAGAACGATAAATAATTAACCTTTGAATAATTAAGAGCTGACTCAGGATCCTGATATTTCTGAGTTGAGGAAAAGAGGAGATAGAAATCAGAGGAAATGTTTTTATTTTCAACAAAAGGACTTTTAAATATTTTTCAAGTAGATATGGAAAAGGAATTTTAAATATTTTTCAACAAAAGGACTTTTAAATATTTTTCAAGTAGATATGGAAAATTCAAGGAGCCACGCACTGCATAACATTTTGATTATCTCTCAGGTACTTGATTATAGTAGACTCCAAAATGGTATTTTTCTCTTACTGTTTAGACCCTCTTAATCTGAACTAGGTTGTGAGTATAAAGGAAGACTGCAAAACTCTAGTCTGGGGAGGGAAGGGACACATAAAACTGATCCTGACTGCAGGAGGAGCTGAACACAGGACATGGGGTGCAAGTCAACAAACAGAATAGAAAGCTTCACCTGTGTTTCCCCATCTCCCCCCACCCGCCAGCCCACCCTCACCCCCGCCTCCCAGGTCAGCAAGGGGAGAATTCACATGGTCCTTGGATCCTGAATGCCAAGGAAAGGCGAAAACAGGAGAGCCAACAGTTGCACCTCTGTTTTTCTCTTCATGTTAGAAATTGATGAGCAAGAAGAATAGCAAAGTTCCAAATCAAGCTCAATACAAACTCAATATATCTTCATCTAAAAACAGAGAACCAACAGTAACTTCTTCAAGTGTGGCGTAGCCTTTGAGTCTAACCCATTAGTTCTGCCGACAGAGAAACTGAGGCCCCAAAAAGGCAGGCGACTTCCTGACATCTGTCTCAGATATGCATTCTTAAGGAGTCTGGTGGCTTAAGGGATTTTTTTCCTGACACCTTTCCTCTTCTCCAATGTCAACAGAAGAAGAGCTTGAGTCACATCTTGCTGAAGACAGTAATGCTGCTTACAACTTTCTTTAAATCCAAATCTTTACATGTGTTTTAGTCTCTAGAAAGCAGGCTATATTGAAAAGCTTACAGGGAGAAAGTAGGTCACCATAATTCAAACGGATGATTCAACATCTTTAAAATGGAAGAAAAAATCCACTACCTTGCTAATCTAAATGTTAACCAGCAACCTCGCACCACTTACATTTTGTACTGCTTCAATTTAAGGCCTTCCTGCTATCCTTTTTTATCCCTCACCTTCTCCTAGGAGAAGAAAAAAAGTGATGCATTTTGGGAAATTTTAAAGCTTGTTATGCTCATGTCATCACTGCTGAGCTGAAAGTGTATGGCAAGGCTACTGGCCTGGCTCTGTGTTCCCACGAGACTCTCTGTATCTGGAGAGAAGAGCCCAAGTTGGGGCTTTAACACAAAGTAGAAATGAGAACTTTTGTTATAAAAATTTATTGAAGCACTCTAGCTGGTTTGGCTCAGTGGATAGTGTCGGCCTGCAGACTGAAGAGTCCCGGGTTCAATTCTGGTCAAGGGCACATGCCTGGGTTGCAGGTTGAGCCCCAGAAGGGGGCATACAGGAGGCAACTGACTGGTGATTCTCATTATTAAAGTTTCTATCTCTCCCTCTGCTTTATTCTCTGAATCAATAAATATTTTTTTTAAAGTAAGGTGTCATCCTATGCAATATTCCTCAGTGCTATATCCTTTCACCATCATCCCCAATCCCCAAAAGAAACAACAACAAATAGCTCCCTGTGCCCATCATTTGGAATCATGGGGAAAGGGAGTGGGTGGTTAATTCTAAGTCTATGTAGTAACATCAGTCAACTAACAACTAAAATCATACGTTCTTAAAACCACCATTTTGTAAACATTTTCACAACTATGCTAAGAAGCCTTGTTATTATTATTTTTAGTTATTATTTTACTTTACAGTTTTCAGAAAAAGGTGATGGTGGTGGTGACTATTACTAGTGAGCATATTTAAGTATTTTTTTTAAATGGCTATTTTTATACCTATTTCCTCCCAAAATTATGTGAAGTAAATGACTTCATCTCATTATAAAATGATACCAGAGCAAAGTGATACACTTTCCTCTGAAAGCCATGTACTAATTTATACTTTCTATACAGAAGCACTGCTATTGTCACAGCTGATCGAAGTAATTTCATATTATTCTACTCCATGAATAAATAGATGGGTATGTGCATTTATTGAACACTGTTGATTTAATAAATAAAAATTAGATATTACTGTAAAACTTACAAAAATTTTAAGTTTATCTTTAGAGTCAGAGGATACACATAGACAGAGACAGAAAGATTTTCCAACTACATCAAGGCAGTATTTTTTAAAAAATATATTTTTATTGACTTCAGAGAGGAAGAGAGAGGGAAAGATAGAAATATCAATGATGAGAGAGAATCATTGATTGGCTGCCTCCTGCATGCTACTGTACTGAGGATCGAGCCCACAACTTGGCATGTGTCTGGCATGTGCCCTTAACCAGAATCGAACCCGGATCCTTCAGCCCAAAGGCCGATGTTCTATCCACTGAGCCAAAACAGCTAGGGCAGTAGTATCTTAAAATCCTCAACTATTATTACTCATGCAAAAAAATGGAATAATAATATTCATATATAAACAAAGGATCTCATAAAGTATCATCTGATTAACATACAAATAGACCAGAAACTCAAGAAACTAAAACATGTCACTGTTTAAGACTTTAAAACAAAATGCATTTGGCTAGTCTATTTCTTTTTCCTTGAAAATTTAAAGGTTTTATGTCTTTAAGCCATCACGATACTGAGATTAATTTATTTTTTATTTTTATTTTTTTAAAAATATATATTTTATTGATTTTTACAGAGAGGAAGGGAGAGAGACAGAGAGCTAGAAACGTTGATGAGAGAGAAACATCGACCAGCTGCCTCTTGCATACCCCCTACTGGGGATGTGCCCGCAACCAACGTACATGCCCCTGACCGGAATCGAACCTGAGACCTTTCAGTCCATAGACCAACGCTCTACCACTGAGCCAAACTGGCTTCGGCCTGAGATTAATTTAATAAGAGAGAAAACAAGAGCATTCAGGTAACAGAAAAAAAGAAGCATAATAGGGAGGCAAAAGCAGAAAGCATACAATAAAGCTTAAAAAGACCAAGACAGTCTGCATGTGTGTTTCATATTATCTGAATCATGCTTATTTTCCCCAGAACAAAAATGGTAATTTTGGTAGGAAAATGTTCATTAGAATAAAGTAAGCAATGGATGATTAGAGAAATCATTACTGCATATAATGGCTACAGCTTAGTGTGTTAATTTTAAATTCACTTATTAAAATGAGACATTCTATGGGAAATAAGAAAAAAAAGTGAAGCACAGCACAAAAGATTTTATTAAGAAAGGTGCTAATTAAAGAGCTAATAATGTAATTAACCATTTTATGTTTTTTAATAGGTCATGACACTCATCGATGTTTCATTTCAAAGGCTTAATACTATAATTCTGAGGACTGTAAACAACAGCTACAGACTAGATTTAAAATGCTTTCAAAAGTTCCTGTTTACTTTCTTCTTAAATAATGTTGGAAAATACAACCCACAGAAAGCATAATAACCTTAAGGGGCCTAAAAACTAGGGGTTAGAATTCTTATCTCTACCAACTAGCTAAGCTGACACTTAGAAAAGGTTGATAACTAGCCTTAGGCCAAAAACAAAGAATACTAAAGCACTTGATATTTCCATTATCCCTAGCTTGCTGAAAGATGTTACTTTTCATTTGATGGAGGTCAAGAACCAAATTCACCTCAATTAATACAATGATTTCAAAGGATGTTAAAATTGGGCTGTATTGTTTTAGAAACAAAATGTACTATGTGTATTGGGGAAAGGAAATAAAATGTCATTGGAATAATAGAGCAATTAAGTAACACGGCTATTGTTGCATCTTCACAAATTTATATGCCACCGTCCTGCTTTGCGCCAGGTTCCATTAACCACTGTCACAGGAACCACCAGAGGTCAGGATCTGCAGTCTATAGCTCTACGGCTCGGACTCTGCCCTAAACCTACTTCAGAGATTTGGAACAGAGACAGACAGGGTTTGGACAATGGCAATGCTATCTGAGGAAAGTATCCCTGATCTAAATCAACAAACAGCAAATGCGTCATCATTCATTATAACTTTTACCTCTTGAGGAAGCTCTAGTTTGGAACGGTCAGTTCCTTCTTTTGACTGAAGACCCATCAGATAAGGGACAGGAGCATCAAGAAAATGTAGCAGAGAAGCAGGGAGGATGGGCACATACACATGCTGCCACTGAAATGGGAACAAGAGTGTGGTGATGCCTTCCGCCACAGTCATCAGGCGTTGGTAATCTGCACAGAACAAGGAAACACGGAGGGGAAGATTCCAAGTAAAAACACAGTCATGGCATTGAGCTTGAAAGTATCAGTTTCCAAAAAAAATTCTTATGCTAATAGAATCTTTTTTTATGACCACACAGAAAATAGGTCACTTCTATCCCACCATAATTAAAGAGTTAAATGGTTTCATTTGAGTGATTTTAAGAGAAGATGGATAGGTGGGACACATCATCATATTCTTTGCTTCTGACATCACTGATGTATGAATTTACATTCCCTTGAAATGTGGAGGAAACAAGAACTAAGTAAACTGCTCTTGGCACTTCTCTCATTAAAAGTGTATCAGAATATAGTTACTGATCACTTCTTGTATACACACACATCTATATAATCCCCAAATTCAAAGGCTTTTATTTCTTGTAGCAGAGGCTCAGTGCACGAAATTTGTGCACAAAATTCATGCATGGAGGGTGTGTATGTCCCTCAGTACAGCCTGCATCCTCTCCAATCTGGACATCCCTTTCACAATCCAGGGCTGCTGGCTCCCAACCGCTCACCTGCCTGCCTGATTGCCCCTAACCACTTCTGCCTGCTAGTCTGATCACCTCCTAACCACTCTCCTGCCAGCCTGATCAATGCTTAACTGTTCCCCTGCCGGCTTGATTATCCCCAACTGCCCTCCCCTGCTGGCCTGGTCACCCCTAACTGTCCTCCCCTGCAAGCCTGGTCCCCCTCAACTGCCCTCCACTCAAGTCCTGATCGCCCCCAACTGCCCTCCCCTGAAGGCGGTTGCTCCCAACTGCCCTCCCTTGCAGGCCTGATTGTCCCCAACTGCCCTCCTTTGCCAGCCCACTTACCCATAACTGCCCTCCCCTACATGACTGATGACCCCAAACTGTCATCCCTTGCAGGCCTGGTCCCTCCCAACTGCCTGCCCCTGCTGGCCTGGTAACCCCCAACTACCCTCCCCTACAGGCCATCTTGTGTCTACAAGGGGGTGGCCATCTTTGACCACATGGGGGCGGCCATCTTGTGTGTTGGTCAATATGCATATTACTCTCTTATTTGATAGGATATATAATTATTCAGATTATATTTTTGTTAAACTTCATTTTGTAGGTACAAGAAATCAATAGATATATGCATTTATAATCACACTTTCTATATTTAACCCGCAACCATAGAACTATCAAATCTGGGGACAAAGTGAAAAGTTACCAGAAAATTAAAGGTTGGTTTTTATTTTATTTTATTTTGTTTTGTTTACATGAACTAATTTATCAAAACTAAAAACTGTCTACAATATTAAAGTATCCTTTCTCCCTAATTCTGAGATATAGTTGACATATAACACTCTATTAGTTTTATAAGTACATGATGATTTGATGTGTCTATATATTGCAAAATATCATTAGTTAATATTTATCACCTCACATAATTACAAATAAACTATCCTTTTAAATCACTCTGTCATTGATGCTTTATATAAGTTTTATTAAAATGCAAAGTTAAAGACAAAGAGAATCCTAAAAGCAGCAGAGAAAAGCAGTTAGTTACCTATAAGGGATTTCCCATAAGACTGTCATCTGATTTCTCAACATAAACTATGCAAGCCAGAAGGGAATGGCACAAAATATTCCAAGTGATGAGAAGCAAGGACCTACAACCAAGGTTACTCTAGCCAACAAAGCTATCATTTTGAATTGAAGGATAGATAAAAAGAGCTTCCAGATAAGAAAAAGGTAAAGGAGTTCATCACTGCCAAACCAGTATTATATGAAATATTAAAGCGTCTACTTTCAGAAGAAGAAGAAAAAAAGATATGAACAGTAAAATGGCAACAAATACGTACCTATCAACAACTGAATCTTAAAAACAAAATAAATCAATAAGCAGACTAGAAACAGACTCACAAGATAAGAAAGTTGACAGTTGCCAAATGGGATGGGGGTAGTAGGGATGGTAAAAGGGTTGAAGGGATTAAGAACTACAAATCTGTAGTTCAAGAATGGTCATGGTGAAGTATAGGGAATATAGTCAATAATATTGTATTAACTGTGTATGGTGTCATATGGGTATGAGATTCATTGGGATGATCATTTATTAAGTTATACAATGTCTAATCACTGGGATGTACCCCTGAAACTAACATAACATTGTATGTCAACTGTAATTGAAAAATTAAAAAAAAATGATTGAAAAAAGATATACTTAGTAATCATTTATTCTGTCAATGCTCTTCAGTCAAAACCCCCAAGAACACACCTGTATTTGAATAGTTGGATTTATTTATTACTCACTGCAGAGCGGAAGAAGGCACACCCTGGAGAATTGAGGGATATCTTAGTAAGAAGATTTAGAGAAACCTATTATAGGATTTGGGCGTTGTTGGATAATTCTGGCCTGGGTCTAAGGGAGTAGTAGAGACTTGCTTTCACTTGGATGCTGTCAGAAATCAGGACAGTTTATCACTGGGCATCTCAGCAAATCTGATCTAGAGGAAGGGCAGACTGAAGTGGGGGACAAAGCTGTGATTGGTAAGGAAGTGAAGCAGCTAATTTAGCAAGAGAGGAGGACGCTTGGTATTGTGTGGGTTGCACGGTGACCTTACTGAAAGTGGATGCTCTTATGGGACCATTCATACTTCATAGGAGCACATGGCTTAGTTTTGAGCATCAGAACAGTTTGTAATAACAGTGAGGCCAACTTGTGAGAGCTAGATCAGTTCCCGGAGGTCAGGCACTGCTTTCTTATTTCCTTCCCTATTATACAGCTCCTGTACCAGTGATCTGTGTATTGCCTCTCAGTTCCAAATTCACTCAGAACATGGCCTATGACAACGGGCCTGTAAGCATTTCTTTCACAGTGAGCACACGTTGAGTCTCAGCAGCAGAGGGCACTGCAGGAGGCAGGGTTTTTTTTCTCAGTTCAGAGTGCAGTGTTGTGCTTGTTCCTGCTCCTGCTGCATATTGATCAGGAGCGCCGCTATGTGAGGTACACATCTGGTGGTGCAATGCCCAACGTAGGCTGTCTCAGAGATGGGCCGGTGATCACCTTCACAGGACTCTCCGTGCAGATCTCACACCCACAGTGGTGCCCTGACAATTTCTGTGTGCCTGCCTGTACACCACCCACAGCTCACTTGTGCCTGGGAGACGGTTTTCTACTTCCTTGACGTTTGAGGATGAATTCAGGCCTAGGCAACCCACTGACCTTCTCCACCATCTGACAACCTGCAGTCACACTTCCTTCAATGAGGAATGAGCCTCAGTCTTGGGAAATGGAGCCTCCACTTCCAACTCGGTCATTCCTAACGTACCCGGTAGCGTTTCCTTCGAGTCTTTAGAGTTACTTTCCTAGTTAGTATACTCCACCCTTCACATTACACTCCTTTGTTTAAATTATTGTGTAGTTTCATCTGTCTCCTGATTGGACTTAGGCTGAAAGGCAGAGGATTTTAAGCAGTTGAATCAAACCCCTCATAGCGTGGCTACTTTATTTACGGTTGATGGAAAAAAGGTTCAATGTCATAGAAAATACAAATCCTTAAATAATGGAAACTAGCACCTGGGGCTATGTTCTTGCTTTGACTATGAAAAATTTACACTTGGGAAGTGAAAATCAATTTCCCCTCTTTTACTAGACACTGAGAGAGTGGTATACATGATTTAGTTTTCCTTCGCCAGACAGTAGATCCTCTTGCATAAAGCTAGGACCCAAAGAGGGTTAAAAACCTCAGGGAAAAGAGATCAAGACAGGAAAACAAACAAACAAAATGGTAACACATACACAAAAAGGCCTGTATGTACTGCCCAGGAAAGTTGTCTGCCCTGCTTCGCTCTGGGAGGAAAAGAAAAGGAGCCCCCATGAGAATTCCTATCTTTTGGCCAGCTTTCCAGTATGTTCGGTGCCCAAAATTATGCTATCTGTATGTCCCAAAGAAACCGCTAAGCTGGAAATTTTTATTTCAAGTAAACTCGTGTTGCCCGTGAACTCAGATGCCCAGTGAAAGGAAAAAGAAAGCCTTTGTGGAGGAATATATCCTCGATATACAACCCATCAGATACTGAAACTTATCTGAGAAAGAATATCAAGTATGTATGTTTAAGGAACTTAAAGGAAGAACTAAGGACCAGGACTGTTTATAGGCCATGGAGATTAAAATGTCTAAGGAAGGGTTAAGTGCAAATTAAATGCAAGGCAAAAAATAGAATAATCTTGGACACAGATATGGAGAAATCACCCAAGATGCAGCACAGAGGCAGAGACAGAAAAGAGGCTGAGAGATATGGGAAATGGAGCAAGACAGATTTAAATGCTTTATTAGTGTTTCAGAAAGACTTTTTTTTTTTTTTTCTTTAAGAGGAATGGAAGCAATGTTTAGAAAAATGGATGAGAATGCTCCAAACTTGGGTTTTTGCAATACCCACAGCTAACTATGGGACGGTCACAGACAGCTTGTCACGATCCAGACACACGGCAGGTTAACCCTGAGGGAACAGCCAGCCTGGTAGATTGGATGAAAGCTACTGTTAAGTCTGTTTGCCCTGAGAAGGGGGACTGCCAACTCCCTCTACCAATGCCAAGTGCAACACCCCAGAGGAAGCAGTTGATATGATTCATACTGTGTGGAATTGGCTTTATGATAATTGGGATATTCACCCACTGAATATGCCCATTATTCTGGTCATGATAAATAGTGCAACCGCACCTGTGTAACTTTACTGCCACAGAATAGGTCAGATTTGCTGTCTCAGCTCAGCTTCCCCTCATGAATCTTTCAGATGCTAATAAAAACATGAGATTATTTAACAAGAAAATGCCAAGAGGCAGGGGAGAGAGTTAAGGAACTCATCCCCAGCAGAGTGGAAATTTTTAAACAGTTATTAAAAAATCAGGTGAAGCCGAAACCGGTTTGGCTCAGTGGATAGAGAGTCAGCCTGCGGACTGAAGGGTCCCAGGTTCGATTCCGGTCGAGGGCATGTGCCTTAGTTGCAGGCACATCCCCATGA